TGCTGTTTGCACTTAGCTTTATCAGTCATAATTCAGTCAATCAATCCTTGATTTTATCAAGAGAATTTGCGACTTCGGCTTGCAAGCTCTTGATATTTTGGCTGTGCGTTAATAGTCAATCAATCAATCAATTTTATGGAGTTAGTACAAATTCAGATAGAGTTGATTAAGAAGAGGTTTCCGATATCAACTTCCCAGCTTTGACTGTTGGGACTGTGCTTTAATAGCTGTATTCAATCATCAGTCATCAGTCAGTCAATCAAATAGTAGTTAAGTCAATCAATCCTTAACTTTTTCGAGTAAGAAATAATTTATATAGAGGTTAGAGATAATTGCGACTTCGACTTGCAAGCTCTGCCTTCTGGACTGTGCGTTAATCAGTCAGTCAGTCAATCAATCAAATGGTCAATCAAAAAATTATCCATTGTAATGAGATAAATATTGATTGATAGAGATGATTTCCAAGAACAGTGAATATACAATTATCTTTGTGCTGATTATTATGTTTGTTTAAAATTGATTGATGGCGATTGAAGTAGGTATTGTAGCGAGTGTGCGCTGTACTTACGTGTGACCAGATCGTAGCTGAGATGCACGGGCACATAGGCAAACAGTCCGACGAGCATCAGCTCGAAGGCCAGGGCGAGCGTCTTGTCCTGCGGCAGGACAGCGCGCAGCGTAATCAAGGTCTTGCCAATGACGGCCATGCCCAGCAGGAAGGCGGCGGATATGCTGAGGATCTGGAAGATGATGATGGTCTTCTGGCAGCTGTCGGCGCTGCAGGCGCCAGGCGTGGCCCGCGTGCTGCCCGCCGAATTGATTGTCTGATCGCCCTGGCAGCTGCAGCCCTCGTACAGCTCGAAGCTGTTGATCGAGCTGCGCCTGGTGCAGCCGGCATAGCAGGGCGAGAAGTAGGTGATGCTGCTATTCTCCGGGCACACGGGCATAAAGGCGGTGGGCGTGCACAGGCACTGGCTGGCGCAATACGGCTGCGTCAGCTTGCCGCCAACGACGCCCGCAATGGCGCCCACGTCGCAGTTGATGAACACGTAGCCCACATAGATGATAACCAGATGCAGGCTCAGACTGATGCCAATGCCCGTTATGGTGCGCGCCGAGAGCTGCGCCTTCGAGATGATCAGGCCGGCAATTAGCATGCCCACGGCCATGACGGGCGGACGCAGAAAGTAGGAGACAAAGGCGGCCTTCCACTCCTGGGTGAGGCCGTCCTGCTCGTTGTAGGGCAGAAAGAAACGGCTCTGCATATAGTTCTCCTCCTGCAGGTTATAGTTGAGCACGGCGCTCTGCAGGCACATGATGCCCAGCAGATTGCACATGAGCAAACGATTCTTGAACAGACGCTTCAGCGAGGGCCAAAAGTCCGTGTCGTCCATGTAGCTGGAGAACTGGCTGCCAAAGGTGCGCATATTCGACTGCTCGATAATGCGCTGCGCCGCCTGATGGATGACCGTCTTGGGCAGCCGCTTGGGAAACAGGCCCAGCAGCACGGCTCCGACAAAGATAAGCGGCGCCAGCACAATCCAGCCGAGCCACCAGCCCACATGTGTGAGGCCCACGCCCAGCACCAGAAACGAGCCCAGCTGCTGGCCGAAGGCCCGGGCAGCGAGCACGACGCCAATCACGGCGGGACTGTCCTGCGACAGGGAGTTGTCATCGATGTAGCTGACGCCCAGCGTGTAGTATGCCAGCGAGCCCATGCCGAGGCCCAGCTGCAGCACAAAGAGCAGCACCAGGGTCAAATTGCTGCTCTGCGCCTCGGTTAGGGTCAACTTCTGGAACTGGGCCAGCGATGTGGCGCACAGATTCGCATCCACCAGGGCGTCCTGCGACTGAACACCATCAGCGCTGGGCAAAAGGAAGCAATTAGTTAAGATGGATAAGTGGCAAGCCGTTTGATACACTTACAAGTTCATTATGGCGGGTATCACTGCAATCACACAGGCCACCGACTGCAGCATCAGGGTTCCCACCAGCCACTTGATCGGATGATAGACGTCCGCCCAGTAGGCGAAGGCCAGGGCGAACACCGCCTGGAATAATCCGCTGCTGACCAAAAGCCAATCTGTGTGCGCAAAATAAAAAAATCGTTATTTAATTTTAATTAATAACTAAAAATAACTTAAAATTAAAATTAATATTCGAACGAAATCAAACCGAACAGGGTTAATTTGGGCCTGGATATATAATAGTTTGTTTGCACCGCTCAGAAAGGTGATTGATTAATTGAAATACTGATTGATTAACTGATTGACTAACTGATTGATTGACTGATTGACTTACTGACGGCTGACTGACTCACTGACTGACTGATTGACTGACTGACTGACTGAATGACAAACTCATTGATTGACTGACTCACTGACTGATTGAATGACTTACTGATTGGTTGAATGACTGATTCGCTGATTGAATGACTTACTGATTGGCTGAATGACTAATTCGCTGATTGACTGACTCACTGACTGACTGATTGATTGATTGACTGACTGACTCACTGACTGACTGATTGATTGACTGAATGACAGACTCATTGATTGACTGACTGACTCACTGACTGACTGATTGATTGACTTACTGATTGACTGAATGACAGACTTATTGATTGACTGACTGACCTATTCACTGACAGATTGATTGATTGACTAACTGATTGGCTGACTGACTGATTCGTTGATTGACTGACTCACTGACTGATTGATTGATTGATTGACTGACTGACTCACTGACTGACTGAATGACTGATTGGCTAACCGACTGTCTGTCTTACAGGACTGATTTACTAACTGATTGACCAAATCAATTGAGACGTATTTCACTTTTCGCATAATCCAAGCTTTCTTGATGGAAAATGCGTTTCAAGGATGTTTTTTGAGCTAAGTTTTCAGTCTTGTCCGACTTGATTTAGACATATTTACAAATCTCTACATAAGAACTTAATGAATGCGTGTTTCACGTGTTTCAGCGATTTGGGAAATTCCACCCGAAACTATGGAAATGCTGTAGAGTCTGGATACGACGTTAAAGAATCGAAAAGAAAATATTATATAAAATGTATACTGGGCAAGGTATATTTGCTTAATAAATGAAAACAAACGTTTCGAATAATTAGATTGACTGATTTTGAGCTAATCGAATCGAGATATTCCATAAAATTGGAATCGGAAGTGAGTCCATTTCGCGCATTTCGTCACCATATTATTTTGATAACAGATAAGTTCCAGCTACAAACAAATGGAATTGAAGGCAAGAAATGAATCGTACATTATCGATTTGAGCAGAGGGAGAGAGAGATAATGCAATTGATATACCAGAGTTTACGTAAGTTGAAACTGATTTCAAGAAATTGTGATCCCAATCTTTTTAGTGTGTGTTCGGGGAGGGGGAGAATGAAGTGTGTAAAAAGTTGGCCAACTGTTTTGATTGCACATTCTGAAAAGTTTTCTACTAGTATACGATGACACACACTCGCACACACACACACTCGAAATCATAAACAATATCGCAAAAGCTGATAAAAGTCCTCTTTGCCTCTCGCTCGCACTTTTCTAGCTGGAAAACCTCAGCCCCATTCGGCGGAGCATTGAGGCCAGCAGCTCGCATAGCTTTTTTTTGCGATAAGTTCTGCTTACTCACCGACTAGGAGGGGATTGTAGCCGTGCTGGAAGGCGGCCTGCTTGGCCGAGACCCGGAAGTAGAGCTCACAGGCGCCCTGCAGCAGCCCGGAACTGAGCAGGACTAGGGTGAAGGTGCGCAGGCGGGCGTATTGCTGGCAGCCGGGGCCGCGACACCAGCCCAGACCCTTGATGCCGCAGTCCACGCTGTCTGTGGAAAGCACAAGAAACGTATATATATATATATATACTATATAGCATATATTGAGCACGCACCATCGGGTATATTGTTGGCATTTACCGCGATCTGCGATAGATCCGAGTTGCGCGTATTTTGCGCCATTTTGCGCTATTCGATGATTCGTTGATTCGTTGATTCAATTATTCAATGATTCGTTTTGCAATTCTTGTTTTCTATTCACTTAATTCATTTGTGTTTCGGTTTCTTTCATATTCGCGCGCAACTCTTTCGAGGCAATTGTCACTTGTCGACTGAATGCGCAGGTGAGAGCATCACAGCACACAGGTGCGAGAGCATCGAAATACCATTATTCGTATATATATTATTCTATGGCTTCTGATAAGCATTCAGTTTTATCTTATCGCTCACTTAATGCTATTCCATTTTCAGCTGTACTCAACATTATTACGCATTGGCAACATGCCAGGCATTCAGCAACATTCGACTTGTAGCAACACGCGCAGCAAAGCAACATTCGAAGTTCTCTTAACAACATTCGAGCTGTTGTTCATGGCAACAATCTCTGGCTACGATGTGGACAGCAACACGATATTCGAACTGCTCAGCAACATGTACCCAAGCATACGAGCACATGCAGCAACATTTACAGCGAATCAGTTGTTGCCAACAAAGGCACTCAGCAACTTGTAGCTGATGTTCGAATTGACGCTTGTGGCAACATTCCAATCGATATTCTCAGCAGCACGCGATCAGACCAACATGTATCTAAATATAGATTGAATATACATTCAAATGTGAATCTTAAACAAGACACTAGTATTACAATTTTCCAAATGAAGTCAACAGAACGCACATCAACTTGATTAGAATTGATGCAGCAGCATTCTAATTAGATTCGTATGACATGTTGACAACAACGAGGCATTCGAACTTTTAACAGCAACATGTACCTAATCATTTGAATTGGTTTGGGGAGTCGCAGACTTTTGCGCAACATGAAACTGAGCTTAATAAGAAAAACATTGTTGAGGAACATAAGCCGCCAACAATTCGAAATACGAAAAGTTGCAGCAATTTATATACTATATAAATTATATATTCATGATCGGGTTATCAAAATATATTTAAGCAAGCTTTGGCAAAGAGTTTGTGGAAATAAATTCACTTCATAAAAAAGTGTAGACTGAAAACTAGCCTTGTTGTTTTCCAATATGAAAATAATTGTAATTTCGCTTTTGCTGCTTGCCTTTGGGTCATGCACACATTTTCCGACAACGCCGCCCGTTCTGATCTTGGGCGTCAGTTTGTAAGTCTGGCAACGCTGTTGCGCACAATTAACTGTTCTTTATGACGTTCTGCTGTTCAATCCACAGACCGGATGCTCGCAACATCTTCCAGGCACTCGAGTCGGACTACTTTACGGGTTTGCTGCGCCCCCTGCTGCAGGAGCACATGCTGGTCGTCTACTTTGAGTCTGCGGTAAGTTGTCTGCCACCTCTCGAGCTCCACTCCGACACATACCTGTCTATTCCTACTGTTCCATCTGTCAGTTGACCCCGAAGGATCTGAGCTGCGTGGGCTGCTTTCCGTATCTGCGAGGCGTGCAGCCGCGCACCTATTACAGCCAGGTGCACGATCCGTTCGCGAGCGTGGAAATGCTTTTCACGGAACGCGGCGAGGAAATGATCTGGAACAGACGAAGGGCCATGCTGACGCTGCCCTGCCAAAGGAATAGCATCCAGCTCTACAATTTCAAAAATTCAAATCTGACCGCACACGGTGAATATCCGGCCAGGTGTTAACACTCTGCTACAAACTCTTTTCTGCCGCTTTCCAACAAAATTTTCCATATGGTCATAACAATGGCAATAGAACAATTAGCAAGGCTCTGGGCTGATTCCGGTTATTGCTTTACACTTGCCTTTCCACCTATTTTCCGCCGTGCGAAATTCAATTTCAAATTGAATTCAAAGTCGATTGATTACAAGCTTTGTGTTTTTAAGCCAAAGTCTTCCGCACATTTAACTGCCTTGAAGTTCAAAAATCTTTGAGGCTGGCAACTCAGTTTTCGCTCAGACAATCTCTGAGCTTTTATTTCCGCCAGCAGAGATGGATTTGGCGGAAAGCGTGAATCAATCCCGAATTTTCACAAAGATCTTTGATGAAAATGAGCTTCATGCAAGCTTTTTTTCGTCAATTTTCCACAATTTATAGAAAACTAAAAGTTTTATGAATTTTACATTCGATTTCCGACTTCATTTTAAGAAAATTCAACGCGGAAATTGATTTGAAAATGCGTGACAAATGCTTGGGCCACAAAAAAGCCGGTTAGCATTTTCTTGGTCTAAAAATACTCTTCCAAATGTTGCTACGCAGATAAATTTATGAAGGCCGTGGCCCTTAACCTGGAGGACTGTCCGGTCATCCATCTGTATACGGCACACGCGGAGCAGATGAAGGCGCTGCAGCGTCGTCTTCAGCGCGTGAACGACATCATGAAGTGGATGAAGCCGACGGCGACAACGACAACGACAACAGAAAAGCCAAAATTTCGGGGTCAAACCTCCCAGGAGCATGTGCTCCGCAACGGTTCGAAGCAGAGCCCGTCAATTGTTGTGCTGCGACATCCGAGGGGCATCGTTGCGCTGGACAAGATCGTGTTCGCCGAGGAGATACCGAAGGGTCTGAATGTCTACTACAAGCGCTTTCACATCTATCCGAGCGGCCAGTCCTCGCTGAGCCTGAAGCTAAAGGATAATACGAACATAAAGAAGGGCGTCAACTTCTTTATTGACACCTCGCTGGGACCCCTGAAGATAAAGCTGGCGCCCGTTGTCGGTTGTTGGCGCATTCCAAAATTAATATTCCAAAACACAACATTCATACCCAGGGATTTGCTCTTCTATGGCAAAAGGTTTAGCTTCTGCTGCTACGCGTTGACCGCCTACTCGGACGATGGAGCGCGCCTCACCCTCTACTCGTTCAGCATGGACGTCGTCCTTGCGGGTAAGTGGAGCAGCCTGCTGATCTCTGTCAAGCGAATGAATGTGAGGCCAGAAGGTATAGCAACACACGTATGTAGCTTAACAGAGGGCTATATTTGGAGTGAAGTAGGGTAGGAGATATTCAAATGATTCGCCTCGTAGATAGATCGTCTGGGTGTAACCTTTGGAGGCGCCTCTCTCTCTCTCTCTCTCTCTCTCTCTCTGATGGGATCGGCCAGGATCTTGGCTTAAGAAGTTTATCTGATCTCCGATCCGATCTCCGACCTTTGATGGCGTTGGTTGTCATGTATCATTCAAACTTATTCTGCATATCGCATGTCCAGATGGGCGTTAATATCCTTTTAATAAGCTGCGCCTTCGTGATTTCCACGAAGTAGCTTTAATAGCCAGTCGAGCCTTTGAAGTCTTCTCAAGCATTTTGCTCTTGTTGTTGAGATATTGGACCCTCCTATGCTCCAACAGCACGTCCAAGCAGCAGAATGAGCTGGGTTGCTTCAAAGATCAAAGGTTTCTATACTTCAGGATTCCATTTACCATACATTTGGATGTAGAACGCATTTGTGCAACCAACAGACCTTAGCTTCATCCTATGCATCTTTATGATATGTTGATGCAGGGGGGAATTCAAGTATCAAGTCTCTAACACGAAGAGATAGCTAGACACACGAACATGGATAGATGGACTTTGGACTTTCTTATAAAGGAGGCATCTCCGACTCCAAAGTATGATATGTTGATGTTGGGGGGAATTCAAGGATCAAGTCTCTAAGACGCAGAGATAGCTAGACACACGAACATGAATAGATAGATGGACTTTGGACTTTCTTATAAAGGAGGCATCTCCGACTCCAAAGTCCATCTATCTATAAATAAGAAGAGGGGTTTTTTTTTGTTAATAGATCAAACTAACCCTCTAGACTTTCAAGTTTTGACTTGGATTCAAGCCGATCTACTTCACTTTTTAGATAACATTTCGGCAATGGATCCCGACTACATGCCCAAGGCCTGTTGGCTCTGTGAGGAATATCTGACGCCAGCGCTTACGCAAGCCATATTCACGGTGTGCATACTGTTGTTCCTGCTCGGTCTGGGTCTAACCATGTTCCTGGAGATGGGTCGCAACATGCGCATGCCGAACATTCGTGAGCCGGAGCCGCCTTTGAAGGTGCCCGTCGAACGCTAAACAAAAAAGAATGGGAACGCAACTCGAAAGGCGAACCTCGCTCGAACCGTTGCATATGCTACAATTCCAGATACTATATTCTAAGCTAATTCACTTGTCCACAAATCTAAACACAATGAGAGAGGGAATGGGAGAGGGCGATGGGATTGCAATTGGGGCCTGGCGGGGGCGCATATTAATAGTATAAAATAGTGTCATTGTCGCGTTTGTTGTTGTTGTTTCTTATTGTATTGTTATTGTTATTAATAAATAATACTATTGTTGTTGTGCACACACATAAATCCACACTCAAAGAGAGCGAGAGGGAGAGAGAGAGACTTTCACGTGGCGTATGCGTAATGCCCAGCTCTTTGATAATATTTGCAGTCCACATTATTTTTGCTGATAATGGTTTTTTTTTTTTTTTTTTATTATCCGCATTATCGAGCCACAATTATCGAGCCACAATGGGCCAGGCCAACGAATTTATTTCAATTTGTTTTTTCCAAGCTGTCAGTTTGATACGCGCCACGCGGCCGCAAGGTTCTCTCTCATTCTCTGCCGTTGTCTACGCATCTCTCTCGGTTCTCAGTTATGATAACGATTCCTGTACGCCTGAACATCTAACGATCCTCGCATTTTGATAACAGTAGAGTCGCTGTGCTTCTAAGGAACTTAACCAAATTTAATTGCGAACATTTGAAGTGCTTTCGAGTGCCGATTTGATTGAACACAAATTTCAAACGCCTTGTGATAAAATGTAAATATTCAAAAAAAGAACGAACAGAACATTATAATAATACAAAATATGCTCAAGTGGAATATTTGTTAAATATGTTTTCTTATTAATTGTTGGAGATAACTAAACTTAACTGAAATTGTGCTTCAATTAAGTCAAAAGCCGAAACAACTTATTTCAAGAACTTTTGTTTTGTTCCTGAATTCCTTAATCAAGCTTACTTCATACGCATAGGAAATATTTTACTTCCATTTGGAACTGTTTCAAGTATTCAATTTCTTGTTATAAGTTTTTTGTGCTTATTCCAAGTGATTTTTGTTTTTCTAAGTTTTTCAATTTAAACGAACCAAAAGTAGGATTCAAATTAGTTTATGGAAATGTTTCTTATATACTTATTATAAACAAGAACTTTATTCAGAACAAAGTCTTTTGGATTTATAATTCTTGCCGAAACTCGAACCCGGATTCTCCAGTAATCTATCGAGTACCAAAAATTCTTATTTCAAGTGATTTTTTTAAAAGTTTCTAATTTAAACAAAGAGTTTCGCAAACAACTTGTTAAGGTAGATTATGGAAATGTAATATATTATATACAAGAGTTTCATTTTTAGGATATTAGTATTAAAAGAAGCTCAACTCTTCTCGAACCCAGTTTCGCTATCGAATACTGCAAATTCTCTTCCAGAACTCGAGTTCGAGTTCCCAAAATATTTGCGAAAGAAACACTGACCGATAGCTGCTGCTCGGGCTCTTTGTTTGCACAGTCGATTTGTTGTCGGATCGCCTGGTATTATCTGACATAGCGTACTATCTATATGTCTATCTGGGCTTAGTTGCATTTATGGCTGCAATGGACATTTGTCTATTTGCCTGGCACAAATTGGGGTCGCTTGAGAGGGCATTTGACATGCGAACACGAGATTAAGAGACGCACGCAACAAGGCAGAGCTTAAAATTTCCAAGTCAAGGCATTTAGCTCAACAAAATTGTTGTCAATTAAGAAACAGTGTGAGAAGTATAATTAAAAATAATATTCTGTGGTCTTCGTTTCCAAAATCCAATGTAAAATTGTTATTAAGACGTGCAACGCCGGGCAATTTCTGCTACTTTATGTTAAAAGTTAAGTTTCTCCAGAAATCCTTTATTTAAAAGTTGTCATGATTTAAAAGCTTGTTTATTTTTGATTTCAACAATGAGAATTCCAAGAATTAAGCTTCAATATTTCGATTCTTTTTTTTCTTTCTTTCAATTTTTCTTGAGATAAGCAATTAATGTGCCATAAGCGATTATTAAGCCAATTTCTTTTGTGTACACGCAATTTTATTTACTGTTTTTTTTTTTTTTTTAAATTTACTGCCGAAACCCTCAAGCTAATCTTTGTTATTGCCGTAGGCCAATTGTTGGCCAGTTACCACTTATTAATTTGTTCAATACTTTTGTTTACATACTCTGTACCGGAGATGGCGTCTAAGGGGTATATTAGTAAATAGTACTCTTTTATTTATGAATCGAAGGCATTCTTTGAATCTTCTTTGAACCTCAATGCAATAGAAAAACAACTAAGACGCTCCAGTTGCAAGTTCCCGAATAGGGTATACCCTGATCTTTCTACTATCGCCCCTGATCCCTATAAAGCGATAGAAACTGGTTAAATATACTATTCAAGAAGTTAAATATCAAGTTTGGTGATTCTGGCTTTTGAAACCTACGAGATTTGCTCAAAAAACCGAATTTCGATATCGTTTTTTATCGATTACTTGAAAACGTAGCAAGTTATCGATTATCGGAAACGAACTCGATCTGCGCGAGCACTTGGAGCATCTACGTTGCAAAATTCATGCTTCTAGCTCTTATAAGTTCTGAGATCCTTGCCACAAAATGCCTACTACACATTATACAGGGTATTCTTTGGTCTAGCTTGCCGAGTTTCGGCTGGCCAATGCGATTTGCGAGAGCTCAGCGTAAAATACGTGATAAGATAATTGTTTCACCAGACCAGACGCTATATAATCTCATAGAGGACAATTCTGACCAATAACACAATTTATTTTTAATGCCAAATTTGAAATCAAGTGAAAACTCACATTAGTTGGCATTTGGAGATGGAGAAGCAGCACGGAATTCGCAGATCACTTTATTGGTCCGAAAAACTGGCCAAATACATTGAGAGAGCTTATCTAATCAAAAGTTGGACTAATATGATCTTGAACAAGCGCCTGGCCTAATCAATTATTGTACTCAGAATTCCACATATCGTACCATTTTATAGACGTCGAATTGGGCTGAGTCTAAACACAATAGTCACGGTTAACCAACTTTTTTTTTTTGAGCCAAATAAAATTATTCATGGGTCAATTTGTAGCAGAAATCATTATGAAATTGGACGCTTCACAATTGTAACTTACAGGTGTGCCGCGAAATAAAATTGATTTTCTAAGGAGGGGTATGCTGGTTTCGTGCGAAGGTATGTGACAGGCAGAAGGAAGCGTCTCTGAGGCCCAACAAAGAGCTGAGTCTGAGACATATGATATATTGATCTTGGAATAGATATATGTTCTTGAGGATCTCGTAGTCGGGCATGCCCGACTAAAGCTCGTTAATGTTAATGTTTCAGTCATAAATTCGCATTTATATTAATCTTATCAGTTGCCCGCCAAGCGAGACATGCTCAAGTCCAACCACTGAACAGACAATCGATTACAACAACAAGAAACAATCATCACCCGTGGCCATGGCGGAGCGAAGGAAACAGCAAGTGCCACCGGGCCATTACTTGTGCGGCCTGGGCAAATGGCATCCCGCCTGGCTGCAGAAATACGCGACGACCAAATGGTTCATAGGCGTTTACGGTCTGCTGGGCACCATCCAGGCGATGTCCTATATGTACTTCATTGTCACGTTGACCACCTTGGAGAAGCGCTTCAAAATACCCAGCCAAACTACAGGTGAGCAGCTCTGGACTGCGCAGTTCAGTTTGATTGATGGGGGATTGATGCGACATGATTTGATGTATGATATTAATTACCAACAATTAATTGTTAAGTACATTCACTCTGGAGGAATCATGTTCTATAAATATCTATACAAATAACTTGCGGCTGCTATTAGCCGGCTCTGCACGGCTCAAAAGATATCAGACGAAAATTAAATTTTAGCTCATGCAACAGGTTGCATGGATGTTCCATCCCCCAAGACGCTTCAAACCGGGTTTGAAGCGAACCGAGTTCGAACCGATGCATACTCATACGCTTTGAGCTGTGCTTCAATCATCAGTCATTCAGTCAATCAGTAACTTATTAATAGAAATGGTTGGTAGTACTTATTCGATAATTATCCTCTCCGATGCCCAACTCGATACCTATTCCTTTCGCCGGCAATGAGATATTCCTTACCTCAATCATCAGTCATTCAGTCAATAATTTGCTTATTAATATAAATAGTATATATTTGATACTTACCCCCTCCGATACTCGATACCTATTGCTTTCGCAGGCATCGTACTCAGTGGCAATGAGATATCCCAGATAATGCTGTCGCTGATATTATCCTATATCGGTGGGCAGCGCAATCGTCCGATGTGGATAGCCTGGGGCATTATGCTCTGCGGCGTATCCTGTTTCATTCTGGTGCTGCCCCATTTCATCTATGGCGCTGGCGATGAGGTGCTCCAGCTGACCAAGGAGTACCAGGAAAGTCAGTGGAACAGCTCCCTGAACCTGAACTACACGTCCATGGTAAGACCCGAACTCGTATGTATATATATATATTTGCTATTACAAGCTTTGTCATTTGAGCAGAATGTCAGCTCGATGAAGACGCAATCGGAGCAGCTGTGCGGGGTGGGCAAGCCCGAGGAGAACTGCGACAGTCTCTTCACGTACGTTCCCCTGGTGCTTATCTTCTTCTCGCAGTTTGTGCTGGGCATAGGCAATACCATGTACTATGCCCTAGGTCAGACATATCTGGATGATAATACGAAGCGCACGAATACGCCGTTCATGTTGGCTGTGGCCATGTCGCTGCGCATGATTGGACCCGTCTTTGGCTTCTTCTTCGGTGGGTTGCAATGATTTACCCAGCTTCCGATTGCATGCTTATTCCACCTCTCCATTTAGGCTACATCACGCTGAACACGTTTATCGAACCAAGCAAGACGCCGCTGATCGATGACAAGGATCCACGCTGGCTGGGCGCCTGGTGGCTGGGCTGGGTCATATTGGGCACTCTGATGTGCATGTTCTCCGGCCTGATAGGCCTCTTTCCCAAGCGGCTGCCCAATAAAACGGATGACCCCAAACACAATTCGCATTTGCCGCACGTGCTGCGGCACGAGGAGCTGAAGCGCGAGGAGGGCCTCTCGCTGAGCAGCCGCGTCTCCTCGAACGCCGCCCTCGACAGCATTGGGGCTGGCGGCAATGCCGATCTGCCCAAGCTCAAGGATTTTCCAACTGCTCTGATGCGTCTGTTGCGCAACAAGTTGCTCATCTTTAATATCACGTCGGGCGTCTTTTACATTCTGGGCGCCTCCGGCTTCATGACATTCCTTTCCAAATACATGGAGGTGCAGTTCCACAAGGCCGCCCACAGTGCCACCATTGTCGTGGGTCCCATTTCCATTCTGGGCATGGTCGTGGGCCTCTTCGCCTCCGGCCTGTTCATATCGAAGAAGAAGCCCTCCGTCAGCAAGGTGCTCATGTGGAATGTTTTCGTCGGCTTTGTCTACATTTGCGGTCAGTTAAATAATTTTAAAAATCTTTTTTCTATATTCTCTTAATTTTTATGATTTTCTTATGTACTTCCGCTTTACAGGCCAATTGTCATACGCCTTTTTATACTGTCCCGATTCTGTATCAATGGCACATTTGGGCAAGTAAGTAATCGCTTTAATTACTTGTTGTCTCTTTTTGTTGCAGTTTCTTGTTATTCACTTCTTTATTTAATATTTAATGCACACTTTTTAACTTTTCACCCAAGTCCTGCACTTTTCACTGCTCGCTTCATTTTTCGATCTGCCATTCGCCTCGCTGCATAAGCTTGGCCTTACCAGGCGTTGCCACCTTTTTATACTTTCATGCACTCGTGCCGTCACGGTCTCAGCCAAACATCAACACATGCATTCGTCTATTTCACAGAAATAGTCTTGCACTTTTCAATACTTATATTTTTATCTGCCACTCGCCTCGCTGTTATACTTTCATGCACTCGTGACATCACTGATCCTGCCAAACATTATAACTTGCATTTCGCGTGAATTTAGCTTAATTAGTCCTGCACTTTTCACTGCTCGCTTCATTTTTCGATCTGCCATTCGCCTCGCTGCATAAGCTTGGCCTTACCAGGCGTTGCCACTTTGTTATATTTTCTCCTGCACTCGTGACGTCATTGTTCCTTCACTTTTCACTACTCGATTCATTTTGGATCTACCATTCGCCTCGCTGCATAAGCTTGGCCTTGTTAAAAGCTGCCACCTTGTTATAGTAGCATGCACCCGTGACGTCATACTTTCCTCCGCCTAATATTATCACGTCTTTTTCTCTTAAATAGCTTCAATTTGACGACCAACTGCAATGCGAACTGCTCCTGCGAGGGCGTCAACTACTCACCTGTATGCCATGAGGCCAGCGATACCACCTACTACTCGCCCTGTCATGCCGGCTGCACCAGCTGGAACGCCGACAGCAAGCTGTACGATGAATGCGCCTGCCTCAAGGAAGATCTCAAAGCTGTACCCCAATACGGCGGCTCGGAGCGTTTGCTAATGGAGCTGCAGCCCACGGGAATGTCGCTGACAGAGAGCACCGGTCTGGACATCGATCCCGCAGCCGTGCCGCTGCTCAACGATGACTATTCCACCGAGCTGCAGGAGGATCTGTTGACGCGCAGCAAGCGCGCCGTGGCCGATCTGATACTGCGTCCGGGCGTTTGCATGGATGGCTGCAATGTGGCCTTCTGGACGTTCTCGATTACCTCGATCATTGTCAACTGGTTTGGCAGTTCGGGTCGCATTGGCAATGTCCTGGTCAACTATCGCACCGTTTCGCCGGAGGACAAGTCCTTTGCTCAGGGCCTGGCTTTGATGATGATCAGCTTGTTTGCCCTGATACCGGGTCCGATTATCTTTGGCCGCATCATTGACTCCACCTGCCTGGTGTGGACCAAGACCTGCCACGGCAATGGCAATTGTCAGCTCTACGATCAGACAAGATTCCGTTATTCCGTCAACTTTTTATCGTGCCGTAAGTCAGCCACATATATTTCCCCTAGTCATACCCACAGCTCTTTTCCCTCCCTCTCCCTCTCTCTCTCTCTCTCGGTAGTGTTCACCTTCATTGGCGTCTTCTTTGATTGGCTTGTCTGGTACTACGGCCGCGATCTGGATCTCTATGGCGATAAGGAGGCCAAGCGCCAGGAGCAGGCGACAAGGCGGGATCAGCCCATTACGCCGCTGTTGGCCAAGAAAACGTCGGAGCTGGCGGATTGCTAAACGGCTGCCCATGCAATATACTCAAAAATCTGGTGCCAATCGTGTAGAATGTTCAGGATATGGTGGACTTCAGCTGTGGGCCCGATTCCAAAGCCATTTGTACAAACATTTCGCAGAATTACGGCTAACTATGGATGCGACAATTGTCATGTGCGTCCTTTAAGTTTTGTTAATACATTTTTATCTGTAATTTGTTAATAAGATGAATTTATATGTTATAATGTTTAAATTTGAATCGATTTTCGAGTTACCTGCATTCAGACTAGTTTTAAGGGCTGCATTAAAAAGAACCTGTTCCAAGGGTTGCATGTTACAGGTTACTTTTTGCATAACCGTTTTTTTTTAAATGCGCATTCTGAACTTATTCGCCTGAACTAGTTCGCTGATTCTTTCAGTTCGATGCTGTGAACCTAACGATACATTTCTTTGATCTTTCGCCTGTTTCAGGAAAGATAATAAATCTAGATTATAATGAAATTGAACTCTTATGAATACAAATTTAATGATTGTTTAAATTGGTTTTTGTTTTGGTTCGTTTTTTTGTCTTCTTTTTGTTTCGCTTTTTATTGATAAAAAATGTTCAAATTTATACGGATCTTGGATTTTTGTTGTTTCGCTTTTGTCTTTAAATATGTATAATAATAATACATTTAATGTTGTATAAATATTCCCGTTTTGTCTATATAATTTCTATTATTTCGTTTTTTTTTTCCTTTTTTCGTATCTATGTATATTCATACAATTTATATTTATTTATCAGTTGCATAGTTCTTTTCGTGTCATTATATAATTTTCATTTTAGTTACGAGTTTGTGGAGAAACATTTAAATATCATCATGTTTAACTGTCGGAGAGATTTTTAACAATTGTATTTTCATTCATTTCCTTTGTTTACTAGAGAAAGCGCGGTAAGCAGGTGTTTTTTTTTTTTCATTTAATATACGCTTGCTTTTTCAAATAGCTTTCAAGTTAATTGCATTAACTCAAACATGGGCGAATATTTAACTTAGTTATGTATTATTTTCGTTCGTTAGACAAGTATTCTGTAAATGGTAACAACATTTCAATTCAACCTTCAAATGAACCATTCCATTAAATTAGATACACAAGTGTTTTCTCTTCTTTTTCGTGAGCTTAAGATACAATTTATAAAAAATGTGAAAATGTGAAAACTAAAAGCCAATTGGTCGATTGGGAGATAAGAGAGCTCTTGATTTTTGTGGCGCTGAAACCGTCTTGTTCAAAAATCAGCCAGACTTTTGCATAACTCATACAAAAGGATTTTGGTTTTTGCATTTGGGAAACAAAAGGCATTTATTTCGTTTCGTGTTGCCTTCAATTAGCTTAGTTAAACAAAATATATATAAAAAATCAATTTGTTTTTTTAGTAGCAAGTGAAATTCTCATCAGTTTTAGCATTTATATTAACAATAGTTAAGTAAACAAATAAAATGATTCTCTCTCTATCTCTCTTTTGAGCTTAAACTTAAATTTAAAGCATTTCGTTGAAACAAAATTGATAAAAGTAGTTCGTAATATTACAAAAAATGACAAACATAATTTTCCGTTTTGGCGGCGCATAACATATTTCAAAGGCAGAGAAGCAAAACATATTTGAGGAATTGGCAACTATTTATCGCTTATCATTTGTGTTTTTGTTTTTTGTTTTGTTTTGCTTTTGTTTTGTTTTGTATAAATATAAAAATTGTTCAGCTTGCAGCTTTGTAGTTTGTTTAAAAAATTCACGACTCTCGCACTATATAATGATGCTTAAATGTTTACAACTAATAAATCGACGTCTGCTGCTTTTCATTCTGCTTGAGTTTTCTTTTGTTTTTTTCAGCCACAACAAAGCCAATTTTAAACGTAATCATAACCCGGACAATATCTCGAATATATATATACGTACGTGTTGTGTGTGTGTGTGTGTGTATGTACATATATATAAATAGTACATGCTCATGCTTTAGTTATACATAATATAGTTTATATTTATATATATATAATGCATTTCTGTTGCTCTCTTTTGCTCTCTCTCTCTCTCTCGCTCTCTTGAAATCTGTGTCTTTGCCAAACTATTTCTCCTTTTTCTTTTTCCATACTTTTTTAGATACTTGCTATAAATCTTGTCTCTAAACATTATCAAACGCTATTGCAGTTGCTCTATGCATATGCATAATAATTGTGGAGAAAGTAAAATCTTAATTGTGTAGGTGTGTGTGTGTGTGTGTGTGTGTGTCTGTGTGTGTGTGTGTGTGTAGAAAGCGTGGCGTTGGCGCTGGCATTGGCAATTTCTCATAATTATCGTCTCGTCTGGCATACTCTGAAGGGTTGCTTGGTTTGCTATAAAGCCGCAGTGTAAAAGGCGGGCGCTCGAATTCAGCTAGGCTCAATTTATTCGATCACCTTGAGTACCTTGCCAATGGCAATGGTTTTATCTGCAAAGCATAAGGGAATATATATATATATATATATGTACATAAGTGCATTACAGTGCCGCACTCACTTTCATCTCGCAGCGTGAAGCGTCCCATTTGCGGGAATAGCTTGAACTGTTCAAGGCAAATCATGCCGTAGCATTCGATGCGCATTATTGCGACCTGATCCTGTTTAACGAATCTTGGACGTGTTTTTGATTTCTCACCACTCTTCTTGTCCACCAAACAGATGAGTGCCTGTCGCCGCAAATGGAAAACATGCTATATATATATGAATTAAGTTATTTATTTGATCGAGACTCACCTTCACCGTGACCTCCTCGGCGGCGCAGTGTATGTGCATGACAGCCGAATAGCCCGCACATATAATTGATTTGTGTTCCAATATAACGACCTGAGCATCAAAGATTTTGCCCGTTTTAATTGGATTGGCGGCATCACAGAGCACAAAACCAGGCGACACATCCTCCTCCTCGATGCCCTTGGGTTACAAAATACATAATTGATTAGACGATCTGAATTAATGCCACATATTTGCAGGGCTGCAAGCCGTAATTCGTTACGCACTTTCAGTTTAATCTTGACGTTCTCGCCGGGACCCACAGAGGTAACCTCGTAGTCGTCGGAGAACAGTTGATCCACGGCCACTTGTGTCTGCAATTGAATTCAATTAGCACAAAGGAATTACATCTTAAATCGATTTGCTGCACTAACCCGATTTGGCATCACGAGCAGATTTTGACCTTTGCGCGCGCAGCCGGACTCCACTTTGCCCATGACAACGGTGCCCATGTCCTTGTATTTGTCGACAATGGGCATGATGAAGGGTCCATCCTGATTGCGATTCAGTGAGGGCAGCTCATCGATGAAGGGTATAAAGGCGGGCCCTCGATACCAGGGGCACAGCGACTCGGGTACTTGATCCTTGAGGCCATAGCCGCTGAGGCCCGAGCAAGGCATAAAGGTAAGATCCTTGGCTGGATTGAAGCCCAGCTTCTTGAGGTATGGTAGTATCTTGTCTTTGCATTCGTTGTAACGTCCCTGATCCCAATTCACAGTCGGATCGTCCATTTTATTGACCAGCACGACCAGATGCTTAACGCCCGCCGTCTTTGCCAGCATGGCATGCTCTCGCGTCTGGCCGCCGCGATCGAAGCCCGTCTCGAATTCACCCTTTCGCGCCGAAATGACGAGCACAGCGAGATCTGCCTGCGCCGCGCCGCCAATCATGTTCGGCACAAAACTCTTGTGTCCCGGCGCGTCCAGTATGGTGAAATGCTTGCGATCCGTTTCGAAAAAGGCGCGTCCCACCTCCACAGTTTTGCCCTTGTCGCGCTCCTCCTGGTTTGTGTCCAGCGCCCACGACAGATACCAGCTCTCGCGCGACTTCTCGCGCGCCTCGCGCTCATATTTCTCCAGCGTACGCTTGTCCACCATGCCCGTCAGCGACATGATCTGGCCGCCAATTGTTGATTTACCAGCATCTGCAGGCGAAGCGTTCGATTAAGCAATGCAATTGGCATATTCTTTTCATTCAAAGGCTTACCAACATGTCCGATGAAGACGACGTTGACGTGCTCGCGCTTGCTTCTGTTCTCCTCGACCTTGACAATCTTTTTCTTTGAGACCTTCGGCGTGGCTTCGCCCTCCACAAATTCGTCCTCGGCTTCCTCATCCTCGGGCGTTATGATGGCATCATCCTCCACGTCCCAGCTATCAGCAGGATCGGTTTCTGTAAATAAATAGACAATTGTCAACAGGTGGCAAACTTCTTTTTTTGTTTTACACCTGCTTAACGTACGCATATTTCTCTATGTATAAAAAAAGCGTGAATTAACTGAATAAAACTGCTTTCAAATCTTTTTCGCACTCAAAAATTGAAACTGTTTCGGATTTAAGAAATTTTGTAAAAGCCAAGCAACAAATCGAATTATTATTTATTATTTTTTTTTCTTATCAACCGCAGCTCTTTGGCCTGTTTTCTCGTCTTATCAAAAATGTCAGCCCTGTTCTAATGTTATCTTTGTATTGCGCTACGCTTCAGTTCTGAAATTGACATGACGGGGGAGAGGAGGAGGAGGAGGAGGGGTCTACATCCACGTGCCAGCATGAGTCATTGGCTGCTGCAGGTGTTTGTCCTGCGTGCAAAACGTGCGCTAGAGATGGGCGCGTGTTGTATCTATTAATGCGATTAGCACGACAACACATGAACTACTTTTAGCCAAGATTATAATTAAATGTATTATTTTTTAATTTTATGCACTTAATATTCGCTGCCAGATTGTATTTTTTATATAAATTATATTTCTCAACCCAACACGAACACGCACGAAATTGGTTTTATGTAATACGAACATTTCGTGTTTTGTCTTCGTGTCACGACGCAAAATTTGCCACGCGCCAAAATCTTTGCCAGAGCACGAGGCGGGCGCAGCGGCAAGGGCTGCGCCCCGCCCCACAGCGTATTTATATTCTCTTCTTCACTCGACGCATTCAGTTGAAACTGGTCAAATCTGGTCGGCACAGGTTATGGCCTGGCCAAGTGGCCAATGCGCGCGCAGCTACTTTACCGTTACTAACTTTTGTTCGGTTGCATTTGCTTTGTGTTAATAAAGCGAGTGTCGCCCACGAATTAAATTCAATAAGTGAACGTGTGTGCGTTGCGTTGCGTTGTGACCGCGACCGCTCGGCACGAAAAAGTAAAAGTAGATAACAGCAGGGCACAAAAACAAACGAATTACTGTACTAAGACAACCTTCGTTGGTAACAACCCTGCTTAGCAGGTTGTTGCTAGTTATCGATACTTTGTTAATGTTATTATCGATACTTCGATTGAACTAAGCTTGTAACTTGCGGAGGCAACACGAACCATTAAACTTATTAAAAAACAAAACTAATTATTACAAATAGTTGCACGCAAAGGTGCCAACTAAAATTCAAATTCAAGTTAAAAGCGGTTCAAACCGAAATGGGATTTGTACAAAGCACACACACACACACACACCATTAGCAACTGCCATTTGGGCCAACACCACACAACGCGGGCAACTGCTTATGACGTTTATAAAAATAATAACAACAACAACAGGCTTGTGCGTGGCAACGACACAAAAGCCTCCAACCAGGGCTGCGTCGTGTGGAGCCATGTGACCAATGAGCGGCATTCGCTAGCGAATGTCTTAACATGAAAAAGAAAAAAAAACAAGTAAGAACCGCTTTGAGTCATTCAACGGGCGAGCGAATAGCCATGCGAGAGAAGCAGGCGGCAATAAAGGCGAGTGAAAAACGTAAACGTGTCAAAACACAGAGCAAGCAACAGAGATGCGCCACAAGGCGCTAACAGTGAAATATTTAACAGTTTGATTTTGTTAATCATTGTGAACAGGTAATGCTCGAGCAAGCGCTAACGTGATTTAAATAAATACAAATATAATAAATAAATATTAGTCTATAAATTCTATAAGAAAACGTAATTTAAAGTGAAACGAAATATTTAAAAATCACTGTGAACAGGCACGCTAATATTGCGCATCCCTGAGACGAATGCACGATAAATGGCCGCACACAATATGAACAGCTGCTGCATCTATTGTATGTGCATGTGTGTGTGTGTGTGTGTCAGTAGCACTAAGATGCATACAAATTGCGATTCTTTGCTTTGCAATTAAAAAGAGCACAACAGACACGAATCGTCACCTGCCCGTACGCCCACACACACACACACAGGCGCTGGTTACCGCAACTTAATTTTAGGTTATGTTATGCGATAGACCGATAACCTAAGCATATTTGCGTTAATTTTGATTTTGATTTTTTTTTTTGTGCCAGCTTATCAACAATAACAGTTTAGCTAGCCGGTTGTCGTTGCTTGGTTCTAATATGCACGTAGCGACACGTGACGTCACAAAGCAAAAGTTCAATGTGCCCAACATTTGCTAAACTACCCCCAGGGCGCCCACACACACACACACGCACACACAGGCAAACACTAAACATGTATATGTATATAGAATCTCCCTTTATATTTACCATTGTTTGCTGTTATTTTGTCCGCCGCATTTAGCTGTTCAATTGGCGCCGCTGTCGCTGGTGAAGGCGTGGTAACGGGCGAGCCTGGCGCTGGCGATGCCGAATTTGATGCGGCCGCCGATGACGGCGCTGCCGTTGTTACCGTGCCCGTTGCCGCTCCCGTTCCGCCGCCACCGGCATTTAGGGCATTTGTGGAACCGGCACTGCCCGTGGAATCGGGCGTTGTTGCAGGTGTGGCACTACCAGATGCCGGCACGGAACCAGTTCCAGGCGCAACAGCATTATCCACTGGCGTTGCCTGCTCCGGTTGTTCTGTGGACGGCGGCGCTTGCGCTGCGGCTGCTGCAACAGCCGCTGCGCTGGCAGCGCTGCTGTAATTAAAGCTGGGCACAAATTCCACTGCATTCACATTGAGAGTTGAGAATTTTGTTGTAACTTCCGTATTTTCCTGAGCGGCCATTACTGCTACTGTTGTTTCGTACAAATTACTTTCGAGTTAATTTTCAATGGAAATTTTCACTTTTCGCCTCTGCGGCTCTGCTCGGCACACACGCACACACACTCACGCACGCACTGCGACGTCGACGACGACACACTTTCGCCCTGCTTCTTCTGCTGCACTCACACAAGCACGCGTTTGACTTTCGTCGTTATTGTTGCCACTCAGCAGTAGTTGGATTAAGGAGGGGGTGGAGTTGATGCGAAGACAACCCAGCCTTTCGATTTGTGATTAATTTGTTATTGTTTCAACGTCGTAGCCAACTTGTACGGCGTTGCTTTTGCTTTTTGTCCCTGCACTTTACTGTCTGGCAGCACAACACGAAATTCTATATGTGTGTTTGTGTATGTGTGTGTGTGTGTGTGTGTGTGAGTGTTGTGTGAACAATCTTCTTCACTCGCTGCGACACCTTTTCCAGTCCTGTTCAACGGCTGTGTCCACACATATACAGCTGACAATTGAGCTGCTGACAAAAAACAATTTGTTTTTGCGGTTAATTTGGCGAATTTGTTGCAAAATTTGTAACAAAAATTTTACACGTTTCACCGCCACGCGTTGCAAAGCCAGGGATGGAAAATATCGATAGCCTTTCAATATCGTTTGAAACAATGCAATACAATAGTATATATTATATATATAATGAATACTCTTTTGTTATTGTAGTTGTTATTTAAAAAACGTGGTAAGCAATAACCGGTTAAAAAAACTTAAAAAATAACTTTTTTATTGAATCGGCTAATCGTAAATGTGAAACGATAAGCATTTGATAACTGAGAGAGCTGCCATCCTGTCTAGAAAAACGTTACAAAATATCGACAAACTATCGATAATGTTGAAAACTATCGAAAAGATTCAGATGTCAGCCATCGATAGAGCCGTATTCATTCAGTAAAAAGAGCTGAGCAAAGCAGGCACAGCTGGACAAAAGGCAGCAGCGAAAAAGGCAGTAAAATTTTGCAAAGAAAAAGTATTTTGAATTTACAAAACAAATAGCGCAATAATGAGCACAGGTGGCACCGGAGGCGGTGCTGGCGGCGGTGCACGTCCACCACCCAGAATCGATGGCATGGTCTCGCTAAAGGCAAGTATACACCCAAAAGAAATAGAAAGTACAGCAACGCGGCCAGACAAAATGGCGGCCGGCAATTGATTTACTGCCTTCGGGTTAGATAACCTTTTTCCCACCCACGCTAATTATGCTAACATACATATATTTCGCTCAATCAAACTGGTTACAACAGGTCGACAATCTCACATATCGCACCACACCCGAGGATTTGCGTCGCGTCTTCGAGCGCTGCGGTGAAGTTGGCGATATTTACATACCACGCGATCGTTACACACGTGAAAGTCGCGGATTTGCTTTCGTGCGGTGAGTATATATATGCAATAGCCCATTTTATACGTTAAATTTAACAAGTGGAATTCACTGCAAGTCCGGCGCTTTGCACTTTGACAAACCAGTCTCCCTAACATTGAGGTTAGGCACGAACCTGCATACCTTGCGGATGCGACAACCCTAATTTTTGGGTGGTTGCGCTCCCGAACTACGGCATGCCAGATAAAATGTGTTCAATTGCAACTGTTGCCTACCACAAATTTTGCTAGCCAACATACTGCGAATACTACAATACTAGAATACTTGGAACTTTTAGGTATCATCAGGTATTCCGTGCATTTAAAATTCATCATGTTTGGCATTTATTTCCAAACATGTTTATAAGCAAAATGCTAGAGAAAATGTGTTCAATTGCAACTGTTGCCTACCCTTAACCATGCTAGCCGACATACTGCGAATACGACATTAATTCTGCTTAGATTTCAACTATATATCAATTTGTTTATTTTATATATTCCCGGAGGTTCCTTGCATTTTTGCACTAACTACGCAGGATCAGCTCTTCCTGTTGATCCTGCTCGCTGCAAAGATGCTAGAGAAAATGTGTTCAATTGCAACTGTTGCCTACCCAAAACTTTGCTAGCCAACATACTGCGAATACTACAAGTGTTATTCAAATGTCCTCTAGATCTATCTATAATATATCTATATATCATATCTTTATCTCTCTATCTATATCATAGGATATATATCCCATGACATCCATAACTAGATAGAAAAGATCTTAAGTACACTTGCGGACTGATGAGACGGGTTTCTACTGTGGATAGCCATGTTTGAGTATTCCGAATAGGATAGGATCTTGCTTATATGATAATAAATGTGCCCTGTAAGAGCAAAGATTTGGATGGGATTTCGTTATAGAAAGCTTCTAGCTGTCTGGGAATCGACAGATCCTATACCAGCTAGTTGTTGTTGATAGAGGATCTGAACAGATTTATGCCAAGTTTTAGAATAGATAAATGTTTGACTGAGACAATTCACAGAGTTATAGTTAGAGTATCTACTCGACCTCAGACAGACTCTTTTTCTCAGGCTCGAAACAAATTAAATTTAATAAAATTAAATTTCCAAGAGGAAATATAATCAGCACAGAGTTATAGTTAGATACGAGAATGTTGAAACAGATCGTAGAGTTAATAATGTTCATCCTCAAGGTCGAGAAAATCATGTTTATGTTTATAATATAATATAATCCTATAGTAGGTTAAAAAGATACCATAAGCATGCTTGATTTTAGTAGGGAGAATATCTATGAAGTATCTTAGTTTAGCCCAACTCACCAAAGTAGGAGGAAGCGCAGAGTCAAATTCTTAGAAGGATACGTAATGCTCCTTCGTACAAAGGACCTCGAAAGAGAGTGTTGGGAGTGTTCCCAAAATTAGGAGACGTAATCCGTCAACAGGCGCCTTCGCAACCATCCCAAGACCTGCTGCTCCTGAAAGAACAAGAATTTAGGATATTATGACTAGGAATAGGATTAGGATTAGAAAGAGAAGGCCCAAATGGGATCTACCTGACCCGATTTCCTAAGACAAAGCTCATTAATATATATTTAGAAGAATTGAAAGCTTTTCGCTTTAAAACTTTCAACTTAAGCTTAAGCTTAAGCTTCCAATATAAGTTAGTAGATAACTTAATAATAAAGTAAATTTACATCAAAAAGAAAATACTTAAAATAATTTTATAAATATATATAAATTTAAAAAAAAATACTTAACATAATTAAATAAAAATATATATATTAAAAAAATACTTTACGTATTTAAATAAATATATATACATTAAAAAAAAATAACATACATGTTTAAATAATTATATACACAATAAAAAAATACTTAACATACTTAAATAAATATATATGCATTAAAAAATACTTTACGTATTTAAATAAATATAAATACATTTAAAAAATATCTTACGTATTTAAATAAATATATATACATTTAAAAAAAAATAACTTACATATTTAAATAATTATATATACAATAAAAAAAATACTTTACATACTTAAATAAATAATATACATACAAAAAATACTTTACATACTTAAATAAATATAAATACTTTTAAAATAATACCTTACATATTTAAATAAATATGTATACATTAAACAAAAAATACTTTACATATAACAATAAATATATTTACAATACAAAAATACCTAACATATTTAAATAAATATATATATACATATAAAAAAAAAAGAAATACTAAAAAATCGGTTAGTTTTTCTTGGCTTAATTGAAACTCTTTTGAATTTTCGCCCTAGTTTCTATGACAAGCGCGACGCCGAGGACGCACTGGAGGCCATGGACGGACGCATGCTGGACGGCAGGGAGCTGCGCGTGCAGATGGCGCGCTACGGCCGTCCCTCGTCGCCGACGCGTCGCAACAGCAGCAGCAGTCGTCGCGGCGCCGGACTCGGCGCTGGCGCTGGCGGCGGCGGCGGTGGACGTCGACGTTCGCGCTCCCGTTCGCCGCTGCGTCGCCGTTCGCGCAGTCCGCGCCGTCGCTCCTATTCGCCGCGTTCACGTTCCCGGTCCGCGGGCAGCCGTTCGCCGGGACGCCGCAGCAAGTTCTCGCGCAGTCCCGTGCGCGGCGACAGTCGCAACGGCGTCGCCAGCGGCGCCCTGGCCGGCGCATCACGCAGTCGCAGTCGTTCCTAAAGACGCCACGGCTCGCTTCAGACGTTCCATACTCGTAGGGGTGCGATAAGGTGAGCGTCAAGTGGAATATTTAACTGTTAAACTGTTAATTAAGTGTTTTTTTTTCAGCCTTGAATTGACTCGTGGACAAGGGTTTCCTTCCGGGGCAGGTGCTCAACTGGGCTACCTGAAACAACTTCTCATGCTGTGTACCAGAACAGCAGGTATACAAAAACAAAAACAAAACACCTACACATATATACACAGAATATTTATAGTACACACTATTTTAAGTTGAAGAAGAAAACAAACAAACAACAAAAACAAACCGAGCCTAGTTCAGTTTTGAGATCAAGTTTTTTTTTTCATCTTTTTTCTGTTTGTTTTGTTGCGCATTCGTTTCTTCATTTGAATTGTCGTCTGCTCAGACGCAGCATCTAGCAGGGTAGGGTATCTAGGCGTCGATGTAGCCATTTTATCAATTTGTGTAGCACACACACACACACACTTCAAAATAAAACTCAAAATTGAATAACACGAATATCGAGAACAAAATCAATTTTGTGATGAGAACAAAACAAAAAAAGAGAACAACTAGCTAATATTTAACCGTTAACATTTGCAATTACCTTTTGTGTTGCTCGTTTCTGTTTCGTTTCGTTTCTAACCGTTTCAATCACGATATAAACTTTATTAACAAGCTTTCCAACCATTTTACATATTTATATATACGCAGGCAAGTGTGCGCGGCGTTTGTTGCAGTCGCAGTCGCAGTCGCAGTCGTTGCTGCCGTGTGGCTGTTAATATAAATGTTATGTTATGGCCGGCGAGTCGTGCGTGGGCAAGGCAGAGTCGCTGAAAGAGAGAGAGAGAGAGGGAGAGCGAGAGAAAAAGAGCGCGGAAGCAAAGCAGCGTGTGTGCTTTTTTTATTTTTACTTCTTTACAAACTCACTGAGAGAGAGAGCGAGAGAGCGGCGCCAAAGCAGACACAACGAGAGCGGAGAGCTGAACGTCGCGTCGCTGCTGCTACTGTTGCTGTTAACTGCAAAACTTCGCTGCGCTGCTGATGTTGCTGCTGCTGCTGCTGCTGCTACTTCGATCTTCCCCACACACACGCGCGCCCACACGCACGCACACACACACACATTGTTGCTGCTGTTGAAGCTGTAGTTCGTGGCTCGACGTCTGCGTCTGCCGAAATGCTGCTGTTGCTGCTCTGCTGCAGATGCTGGCGTCCGTCCTTGTCTGCCTCAACTGTTTCGCTGTTTAGTTTGCCGTTGGCGTTTCGCTGCTTCACTTCTTGTTCGGTTCGCACTTGTTGCTGTTGCTGTTTGCTGTTACCTGCCGGCGTTGTTGGTGTTTCCTGCTGTTTCCTGTCTAGCGATTGGGGCCTACTTTTGACTTTAGCGAAATTTGTAGCTGCTACGTGGACACCGCAAACGAGCCCCCTCCCCGCCCGCCAGCCCGAAGCAGTCCCATACAACTGTGTGCGGAGACTTGTGAGCGTCCAGTTGGAATGCAACAGGTAAGTCTTGCATTAACATGTGCAGCTAACATTTGCATTCCATTACAGCCAAATGCCAATTAAATGATAAGTGAGATGAATTATGCAAATAAAATAAAACTTTTCAATATAATATACATATTTTGTGTTTGTAATGGGTAGAGAAAATCTAAAGGGAGTATAAATGGGAGAGATATGGTTATTTGGAGAGATGGCTGTGTAGACTTTTGTACTGAGTTGGAAAATACGCTACAGATGGCCTTAGAAATACAATTTGTCTTCTATTTGCTTACAAAATGTTAATTAAATGAATGTGTAATTGTTTAATAAGTAATATTTGTTGCAGCCCATCTAATTAAAGTAGTTTAATTTTGCGCAAATGCTAAATTCTCATTCAACGCGAAAAGCCCAATTAGATTCCAATAGGAAGCATGACGTTTTTGTCACAGCTCTCTTTGTAGAGTTTTGGCTATTTTTTTTTGGAAGGGGGCCTGTGTAGAGATGGAACTGTTTATTGATAAAACGTTTCCAGCACAACGAAACGAATTTCAAAGTTTGAAAATTTTCTATTTATTTATTGAAATAAATTCGTTGAAAGCCAAGTTCTTCTTCTTGGCTAATCGCAAAAAGCAAAAAAAAAACAGACAAATACCTCAAGATGTATAAGGACAAAATGGTAAAGAACGACTCCTTCGAGCCGGATCTGCGCAAGGAGGGCACCTACATCTGCCCCATGCCGCAGCCGCCGCCGGGGCCGAGGGGCGCGCAGAACTGGCACGGCCATCTGGCGCCGCACGAGCGTCTCTTCTACCACCAGACGATGAGCTCGGTGCGCTACAGCAAACGTTTTCGCTGCAGTGTGAACATACCCAAGGATTCGTTGGACTTTCAGCTGCAGGCGCGCTACGATCACGGTCGTGAAACGTTTCCGGAGAAGATTGATGCCGTGCTGCAGCGGGACACGTGCCCGGCGCTGACCAGCTGGGCGGCACCACATGGCCAGAAGGAGGTGGGCGCCATTTCACGCATGAATCTGTTCCGTGTGCTGCGCAATACGCGCGTTGCGCGCCTCAAAATGGAGGATGCACTGGGTCATCCATTGATTATAGGTAAGTTTCGAGTTGCCAACTGTTGGCTCGAAAAGAAGCCAGAGCAGTGTTGCCAACTTAAGCTGTGAGAAAGTAGCTGTATACAATGCAGAAAGTGGCTGAATCAGAGAGTTGCCAACTGTTGGTTCGAAAAAGTAGCTGACTTTAATGCTAAAACTAGCTAAATCAGCTCTGAGCAGCGTTGCCAACTGTCGCCCTAAACAGGAAGCTGAATTAGCTCTCTGAGGCGTGTTGCCAACTGCTGCTTCAAAAAAGTAGCTAAATCAGCTCTGAGCAGCGTTGCCAACTGTCGCCCTAAACATGAAGCTGAATTAGCTCTCTGAGGCGTGTTGCCAGCTGCTGCTTCAAAAAAGTAGCTAAATCAGCTTTGAGCAGCGTTGCCAACTGTCGCCTTAAACAAGTAGCTAACACAGCTCTGAGCAGCGTTGCCAACTGTCGCCCGAAACAGGAAGCTGAATTAGCGCTCTAAGGCGCGTTGCCAACTGTGGTGAAAATAGCCAAATTCGGCTAAGAAAAACAGCTAAATTGGCAACACTAAATGGAAGAGCTGAAAAAACAGGGTATTTAACTATTCGATTATTTTGAATATCTCACAGGTGGCATCAAGGAGAAGATACATCCGTCGAGCGTCAAACTGATCTGCAGCGGTGTCCATACGCAGCTGGTGAACAACGGCTTCTCCCGCCAGACATCCGATGGCAACTTCTTCCGCTATTAAACGAGACACGCCCCCTTTCCACTTGCCTCCTTTTTCAGTAAAGAAGTTTTTTTGTTTTGGTTTGTTTTACAGAATTATTGGAAAGACTCAATAAAAATTGACAGAGCAACAGGACGAAAGCGGATCACGCTAGCGGCGACAGCTTGGGCTGCTTGGCCGGGAGCAGCTGCTCGTCAGCCTCCGCCTGGTCAGGCTGCTCCGGCTCCTCCTCCGTCTCCTGCTCCTCATGCGCCTGCTCCTGCTGTGCCGCTTTCTGACGTTGCTTTTTGTTCTGGTTACGATAGCTCTTGGGCAGTTTGTTGTCGCCAATCCTGCAAAGAATCAGAGGGGGGGTCAATAGGTATATAAACAGTTTCCAGTGGAGCACCTACATGATGGTGGCGCGCGTGCCCGGTCCCCAGTGCGGCGCGGGGTTCTCCTGGAAGCGTGACAAAGCCTGCTTGCGGCTGCTGGGATTGGCCGCCGGATGCAGTTGATCGAACTCGTAATCCTGGCGGCAGGGCTGCGAGAGAATCGCCTGCAGCGCCGTGCCCGGTATGAGGCGATTCTCGCGCACCGGATGCCGTTTGCTCCAGCAGCGCAGAATGTCCCAGAGCACGGCGGCGGGTGCGTCCGTTTTGAGGGAATTCTTGCTGGCATGCGAGTAGGAGACACGATAGCCGGCATGGAGCAGGGCGGAGCGCATCTTGAGCATGGGCACAATCTCCAGCTTGAGCACGCAGCAGAGCTTGTCGGGCGTATAGTAGAGCGGCACATCCGGCAGCTCCTCCAGCACCATGGAGAGCACGCCCACCAGCCGACGCTGCGTGCCCAGCTCCAGCTGGGGCGTCGCCTCCAGCAAATGACGCACAAACTCCAGATTGTGTATGGGCGCCGACCAGATCGGACCGCCCAAATGATGCCGATGGCTGCAGTGCTCGCACTGCGCATTCACGGCCGGGCCCGTCGGTATGCCGAACTTGACCAGCTGCGGCTGATCCGCGGACTTGGTGCGCACCGTGCCCAGCGGCTGCAGGGTGAACGTCTCACAGCCGGTGCACTGATAGATCCAGGACTGTTTGCTCATGCTGTACTTGCACTGGGCCTGGCCCGAGTGGACGCGCACGAAGATGCGCACGTAAAAGTCCGCCGAGATGCTGAGCAGCGGCTCGATATATTTGCCGTGACGATTTGCGTGCGTTTCGATGCAGTGCAGCAGGATGCGCAGCGCCATTTCGTGGCAGCATTTCATGCGCAACGGCACCGAGCCGTATTTGACGTAGCACGCCTCGGGCGCATTACCCGCCAGGACGGCCATGTCGGTGGCGGTGACCAGGAGCAGGCCGCCGTCCACGATGCACTGCAGCGCGCCGTCCAGAAAGCGATTCGGGCAGCCGTAGGGATCCAGGTCGACGGCATCGAAGCGCTGCTGCGGCGCCGTCGACAGATACATGAGTGTCCTGCAAGGATTGGCTGCTTTAGTGCCAGCATTAGGATTTCAATTGGGAGCTTACATGGCGTCCGCATGACTTGTCTCGATGAGATGCTCCACGGCATTGTGCCGCACATTTGTCTTGATGGACTTGACTGCCTGCTTGGACAGATCGTTGGCTATGATCTGGCGCACGCCCGCGATCTCCTGGGCATAGCGTATGCTCCGGAGTCCTGTGGCCGCGAGCGCCTCCAGAATCCGAAGGCCGTCCGCATATTGCGTGCCCGCCGTGTAGCTGGGCGTTGGCGGCGGTGTCTCCTCCGGCTGCTGTTGCTTCTGTTGGCGCTGCAGCTGCTTGCGCGCCTTTTCGGCGCGCTCCTTGACCAAACGCTGGAAGTAAACGTTGAGCACGGCTATGCTCAGGTCGCGATTGAACTCCTGCACTGGGTTGTAGAAGACTTGGCCGCCGGATATGATATGTGCATTGCGTTCTGTAATTATGTTGGCATTCGGATTCGTTGGCACGGGCGGCGTCTCCTGTGGAACGTCCTCAACTTCCTCCACTTCCATTTCGCGCTGTCAACAACACGTTTTTACAACAGCGATGCGCAGCGGTTCGATAACATGTGGCGGCTAATCGATAACCGAAACAACGACATGCCAGGCAGTTGGCAACGCGACGCGCACAGCTGCTTGCGCACTTACCTATTTATTTGTCATAAATGCAACAGCTTTTTAACAGTATAGCTGAAATTAATTGATTTAAATCGTTGTTATATTTAAATAATTAACTAATCTTCGGTGCAGTGAGGTTTACATAGTACAATTAAACGTTTATTTTGTCCAGCTTCTCGTTCGGACCACTTTTAGCTGACACATGGCCAGCGCTGGCATAACGTTGGTTGGCAACACTGGCTTGTAGCTGTCGTAACAGGCCGCTTGCATTTAGTTTTTATTTAGTTTTAAAAATATGAATAAAATAACGCGTGCTTTTATTGGCGTACTGCAGCACAGCAATAACACGTACGCGCTACTCGGTCGCCAGCTATCCTACAAAAGCGATTTGTCGCTGGACAAGATCTATCCAAATGCGCGCCTGCAGCTCTTCACGCCGCCGCCGCCGCCGGTAAGTAACGGGATATATGCCGTTATTATATGAAAAGCGCGGCTAATTTAATTGATTTGCAGCCCAAAAGCGGCGACAAGTTCAATGGCTATATACCCATGGATAAGCTGGAGATCACGTACAGTCGCAGCTCCGGCCCGGGCGGCCAGCACGTGAACACGGTCAACACCAAGGTGGACGTGCGCTTCAAGCTGGCCGAGGCGCAGTGGATACCGGAGCAGACGCGCCAAAAGCTGCTGCAGGTGCTGGCCAACAAGCTGAACAAGGAGGGCTACTATTTCATCAAGAGCGACCTGACGCGCTCCCAGCAGCTGAACCTGGCCGATGCGCTCGAGAAGCTGCGCACGGTCATACGCGCCCAGGAGCTGGACGCACCGAGCGGACCCAGCGAGGAGACGCTGGAGAAGCTGCGTCGTCGCCAGGAGCGAACGGCCAGGCAGCGGCTGCAACTGAAACGCGATCGTGCCCAGATCAAAGCGGATCGTCAGGCGCCAAGCGGCATTGATTTTTAAATTCATTTTTAATTTGCAAAAATTGCTGTTACATAAACATTGTTCGGTACGAATGCGCTTAGACTACTTGTGGAGCAACTCCTCCGCGGCCGGCGTCACCGTAAAGCGTGGCACGGGCATCGCAATGACAGCGTCCAGCGGCAAATGCAGCTCGTGTCGACTTCCATGCGAGGGCATGCTCGCAAAACGCGGTCGCTGCAAAGAGAGCGAAAAGCAGCAGGAGTTAATTATAGGATTCGGAGGAAGCGGAGCGTGTTGAGCAGCTCTGCTCCCGTCCTGCATTGGCTGCAGCTATCGAAGGTACAAATACCCCCAAAGACCCTTCCTCAAATGCGTCCAAGTCCACAAATTGTAAACTCTTTTGATGCTAGGACCTGAACTTGGCAGGAAAAAGCTTTAGACCAGCCCCCTTTGCGGCTAGCAGCTCCGCTTGCCGGAACAGTTCTTGAGAGGAAGTCTCACCCAGGCTCAACCTGACTTGGACAAGACTCTCAATTAAACCCAACTTTTGTATATTAAGCTTGAAGCTAGTCGGCGGCGAGGCACATAGAAGATCTATGCCCATTTTCATGCCGGATGAATTATTATATGTGAGCACTTTTGCTCCTGTCCTGCTCTAGGAATAATTGTAGATGCAGATGTCTTCAACTGCGATCCCTTTTGATGCCAAGACCTCAATTTGGCTGAGTTTTCAAGAATTAGATCCACATATCCAGCCCAATCTGGCCTGGACAAAGGTCCCCGTAAAAAGCTAGTTGAAGAGGAGGCATCTAAAAGATTCCTACAACAATCTATGCCCCTTTTCATACCGGATGGAATCTTCCTAGAGTTTTTTGTTGGTGAGTTGAATCATCAAACTGTAAATCAAGGCTAAAATTCTGCTCCACCCAAGGTCAAATAACATGCCAAGAGTTGACTCGAGTCTGCCGGACTCTCAGGCTTTAGATTTTGCAGTTGGAGTCAGTTGCTCACCGGTGTTTGGGCGTCAGCGATGCGCAGCGTATTGTGCCGCTCGATGCTGGCAGGTGGCCGCCGCTCGGGCAGCTTCGTCAGTGTCTGCGTGTAGAGCTGCTCGAGGCGCTGGATGGCAAAGGCGGGCGGCAGCTGTGTCGAGAAGCTGTGCCGCATGCTTCGCGGCGACCAGGTGTGCTGGTAGGCGGTCTCGTCCAGATGTCGCAGCAAATCCCCATTGATGACCTGTCTGTCCTCCTTGGTCAGGTTGGCCAGCAGCTCGTCAATGAGCGCGGCATCGCCGCGCGACACCTTGATGTCGTGCATCCAGAACTGGCGATTGCTGCGCCCGATTACGGGCGCAATCTGCTTTACCTTGAGCACCAGGATGCCCATCAGGTAGACGCACAGCACATTGGAGAGTGTCAGGCACATGCTGATGCTGCCCAGCACGGCCAGCTCGGTGCCCTGATGCTGCGAATACTTCCTCGACTTGACCACGTTCACGTACAGCGTGTCGTCGCTTTCGTACAGCTTGTAGATGCAGGCGAGGGCCCAGAGCAGGCCCGAGTTAACCGCCGGCGGCAGCAGGGATGCGGATATGGCCACGCCCACCAGTGAACCAATATTACCGCCCAGTATGCCAATGGCAGCCGCCGCGCCGGAAGGGATGGCCGTAAACAGACCCACGATCAGCGAGTGCAGATCGCAGCGTGACAGCATCTCCTCGGTTAGGCCCTCGCCAATGCCGTACTTCTTGTCCGTGGTGCACACGACCAGCCCAAACAGGAATCCCACCAGCGTCGCCAAGAGTATGCCAATCAGCTCGTTGCGCATGCCCAGCCGGCGCAGCGAACGCTCCTCGATCACAGTACCAAAAATGGCAGCTATAATGGGACCCATCAGCGGTGAGATCAGCATGCTGGAGGCCAGGAAAATGGTGCTGTTCTCTATCAGCCCAAAGGAGGCCAAGGTGCTGCAAGGGATGAGAACAAGAAATGCGTTAGAAGAAAGGAAATCGAGAAGTCCTATCAGAATCGCAGGCATATGTAAATGGACTGCTCTCTAGAAGGGAAGGAAACAAGGATATGGTATTGGAGTACTTAGAATAAAGGGAAATCCTAACAATATCGGAGGAAATCCTATCAATGGACTGTTGTCTATCAACTCTCCGGGAACGAGGATTCCATGTGGCATATGGCATAGAAGTACTTAGTATAAAGGGAATATGGAAATACTATCAAAATCGAAGGATTATGTAAACGGACTAGAGAAACTGTTGGAATATCAGACTTATACGCCATATAACTTCCAGAGAACCGACTTTTCAAGAACAATATACCAGAATTGTGGAATATCGGGCTACCACAGGAAGGATCTTTCCATAAATTGACTTTTTAAGATATCTTCAGCGAAGTATTAGCTAGAGAAATCTTTGGAATATCGGACTACTATTCCATGCCATGGGAAGAATCGGTCGATCTGTGGATTCTTCTTCAGCGAACTATATACTAGAGAAATGGTTGGAATATCGGACTATATAATTGCCATGGGAAGAAATGCAGGGAATCTAGAAATCCTATCGAAATTAGAGGACTTTGGCAATGGACTTGTCAAGATAGTTACCGTGAACTATATACAACTGAAATTGTTGGAAAATCGGACTACTATATTATAGGAACAATAGGAACGAACGGTTAATAAGTGGACTTTTCAGCGAACTATATACAATAGAATTTCTAGGAATATCGGACTACTATAACATATATAACTGCCATAGGAACAATCCTTCAATTGGTAAGTTCTACCACTTTCTTATATCTATATCTATCTATAATATAGATCTATATCTAAGTCAAACTTGGCTCTAACAAACTCTGCCCTGTTGCTTACGTGGGCGAAATCTAATCAATATCGGAAAACTATATCTTTTTGCTCTAGAGATAGAATCTTGCAATGATTTTGTATATGAAAAGAGGTTCTGTTTGTGAATGTCTTTCTGTCTTTATGATCTTTACAATGCCTCTGGCATATCTGCTAGACCCTAAAGCCATATGTCCACAAGGCCATTTAATCTTCGGCACGGACTCGTCATATCTGAGCCCAAGCTCGCACTATTTAGCTTATCTTATCGAGAACGGATCGCTAAATAAGATTGCTACGGCTCTGATGAGTACTTTTGTTAGGGTATTTCGGGTAGTCCTTACGCTGCAGAGACGAGCAGGATGCAAAAGTCAAAGGTTATGGCCGCATCCTGGCGGACATCGCGCACAATTTGCGCCACGTTCAGGCGGGAGCGCACCGAGTTCATGAATCTGTTCCAGGCGCCCTGCTTCTGCGCGTTCTGATTGTTGTTGCTGCTGCAGGAAGAAGAGTTGTTCACGTTAGCGAAGCTTGACTGTGGCAGCTTGGTAGCAACTGTACTTACTCGTTGGGCGCATGCCCAGCCGCAGGCTGTTTGTCCGTTTCTAAGGGATTTGTTTTGTAGGTTTTTGAGGCAATGCAGTTCATGACCGCAACAGAGGAGCCCTCCCGATCCCCGATGCCCCATTGCTGCAGTGCATCGTAGAGATTCTCGTAGAGTTCATTGAACTCCAGCGCAAAGCTTATCTGATAGCTGCTGCCCTCCATGCTGCGCAGCCACAGCGCGTTCGATATGCCAAATTTGCGCAATATCTGACGCAGCACGTGCTCCATGGCGGTATCCAGTGGCAGCTCCAACAGTTCCCTGCGCTCAGCAACATCTGTCAGCTGTGTTCGTAAACCTACGCTGTCACCGGCCCCGCCTACTCTACTGTTTAAAGGGGGCGGCGGCGATTGCTGTTGGCCTCGTCGTGACTCAAACAGCTGTTGTGATCTCTGCAGGCTCTGCCCCTCGTAGGCAGATCCCCTCTCTGTCTGCGTTTCCCTCGGCCCTTCGTCCTTTAGCTGCCGCCTGTAGGCCTCCTTGAGGCGCTGCTCCTCGCTGGCCGTGGGTATTGTTATTGTGAAGAGTACGGCGGGTGCGTCCAACATTTTATTCAAATATTATTTGCTTATTTAACAAATTACATATACACACACACACACACTCGTACATACATACATATATACTCAGACATGCATACATATACACTTCTTATGCACACGTTATTTTGTAGTAAATAATCTTGGTTTTATTTTTTCTGCGCACAAAAAAAAACGTACGGGCCGTCGCACGTTTTAGCAGCTGCGACGATCTTCTGTGCACTGGAAAGCGCATTTCATTTGGCGCCTTGTTCTTGTTGTTCTTGTCCGATGCATTCGCCTGATAACGGTTTTTCCTCAACGCTGTTAAATGCGCGTCTGTTAAGGGGTTATGTTATGTGGCTCACACACGACACATGCAACTGGTCGCATTGCGCTTAACTATGTTGTTGAGGCTATGTTCCATAACAGTTTTGCCTCAACGCTGTTAAATGCGCGTCTGTTAAGGGGTTATGTTGTTGGGCCCACACACGACACAAGCGACTGGTCGCATTGCGCTTAACTATGTTGTTGAGGCTAGCTTTTATAACAGTTTTGCCTCAACGCTGTTAAATGCGCGTCTGTTAAGGGGTTATGTTATGTGGCTCACACGCGACACAAGCAACTGGTCGCATTGCGCTTAACTATGTTGTTGAGGCTATGTTCCATAACAGTTTTGCCTCAACGCTGTTAAATGCGCGTCTGTTATGGGGTTATGTTATGTGGCTCACACACGACACAAGCGGCTGTTTGCATTGCGCTTAACTATGTTGTTGAGGATAGCTTCTATATAAGTTTTGACTCAACTCTGTTATTTAACATTTACTTTGCTGTCATTCGCTATGTTGTTGGGCCCGAACATGACACAAGCGGCTGGCTGCATTGCGCTTAATCATATTTACAGCAACTCACACTGTTAACTTAACATTTGCATGCAACTGGCAAAGCTGTAACGGATATTTGAATTTCATATCTAAAGCAAAATGTTAACGTTTTTCTCTGATTAGTTTGAATATTTCATATTTATTTAAAATATTAGATTTATTTTATTTTATTTTATTTGTTGTGTTATTTATTAGTTAAAAATAATCTGCAGCAACCGAACTGACAAAACTTGATTTATTTACAAATACTTTTGATAAGCCCCGCGTATTTACACACTAAATGGATTTAGATTTGCGATACAAACTAAGCCTCTAGACTGACATTCATGAGCTCCTTGGTGATTTCGGCCCTGCTCCTTGTGGGCTTGCTGTTGCCCAAGGAGTTGGTGTCCTGTGCGAGTGCGGGCGGTGGCAACTTGAAGCCGCGCGGCGGCTCCAAATCGGGAGATTCAGCTGCTGGGGGCAGCTCCGTAGACGTTGCTGGCGTCTCTTTTATGGCCATTTTGTAGAGCAGCTGCAGCTGCTGCACTGCATTCGTTGCCAGGGCGGGACGCGTGGGCAGCGCCAGCTTTGCGGCCAGCTTGTTGCCCGGCTTATGCTTGGCCTTGGCCGGCTGCGGCTTCATGCCCTTGGACCAGGTCTCCAGCCAGCTGGCGGCCGTGCGCTCAGTGCTGGTTAGCAGCTCCTGTTGACGCAGTTGCTCGCGCTGTTCGCTGGCGCTCACCTGGCGCTTGTTAAAGGACTGATCGTCCTTGCTGGGCTCACCGAGCGGACGTGTGTTCTTCTGCGGTCCCAGCTCGAGCAGCACCTGAAAGTCCGCATGCTCGCCCAAGCGAAAGCCAAAGCCCAGACGCGAATCGGTGCCTGACAAAAGATATGTCCGCATTAAGCTGGATTTATTATGGAATAACTATATAGCTTTTATAAACTGACCTTTTTTAATGGGCGGTATATTGGAGTAAACCAGGGAGAGCGCCGATTGTAGTTCCTGCGGCACTATAAAACCATTCACATTCTCAGCTGCAAAAGAGAAATTAGATGAGATTAAAGAGACTTAAATTATTTAATTTCAGCTTGAGATTCGATAATTCTTTGTCTCAGAAAAATATAAGAGCAAAGTATGATAAAAAAGGATGCTGGTTCGAATCTCAAGCATTGCATTTGACGCTGTTAATCACTTTGCTGTTAAGGGGCCCACACACGTCTAAGGTCCATTATCTTATAAATGTTTATGCTCAACTCTGTTAAACATATTGCTGTTATGGGGCCCATACACGTTACAAGCGACCATGCTTTTGGGGCCATGTTTCTACAACAGTTTTTCCTTAACTCTGTTAAACAATTTGCTGTTACAAGCACGTGTAACTAGGCTTTTAATAATAACCTCAGGATAAATCTGAGCTCTGCAAATTAGTCAGGCAGTCTTAGATCTTGGTACAACCCCACAGATTGTTTCAGGAAAATATCTTAAACTAAAAAAATAACTTTTTAAGAGATAAATAGTATACAGAAGATGGCCAATTCGAATCACAGGCACCTGAAACTACTCCTAACTATATCCTATAACTTTTACTATAATCTCAGGATAAATCTGAGCTCTACTAAATAACTAACTAACTGTTATCTTCAGTCACTTAGTCTTAGATCTTGTGCTAATTTCCAGCTGTTTTATTGCGCAACAAACCAATTTGTTTGTGTTCAGTTTTTTTTTTGGGCTTGGTATGCTGTTCGTTTATTTTGACAGCTTGGTATGCAGCCTACCTGTTTGTTATGCGGCAATTAAATTTGCTGCTGTTTTTTTTTTTTCTTAAACAAAGTTTATAGGTCTATGATTAATGCGGGAATATTGTGTAATACTATCAGAAATTAAGCGGCGTCGCTCGGTCACATGCATGAATTATAAATATGAATTTCTTTCTCTTATACGGGCTTCAAATGCGTAAAATTGTAATTAATACTTTTGAATATTTCTGATATAAAGTTGGATAAACGAGCAATACAAATTGCCAAAGGGCTGCCAGGTTTGAACTGGCGACTACACGCTACTTGGTCCGACGTCCACACTCGTAAGCTACACAGGCTTTACAAGGAATATATATATATATTGTATATATATATATTATATGTCTACGGAATTGTTGACATTTTTCAACTTGAAGCTCGAAGTAGGAAAGCAAGTTTCTTGAGGCTGTGAGCCTTAAACATAAGACAATAAATTCTATCAATACTTCAACTAGCTCAAAATGTTACCGAATATTTCAATATGCGAGAAATATATATAGTTCATATGGCATATCCCATAGTATATAGTATTATAATCTCTTCCTGATTCATAGAAATATATGTAGCTCTCGAATAAACCCTTGGAGTACACATAAAGAAAAGAAGGGTCTCTTCGAGTCATCTATAAGTTTTTGAAGCTTATTATTCACAATCATAAACGCACTTAAACTTGTTTTGCTTCAGGGTCAGGCGATTGTTTGGCTTGTAAAAAAGTGCAAACCCCTTTCAAGAGAACTGACCTCTCACAAAAACAAAACACAAATGATGCTTTTGAACCCTCACGTAATTAATGAGTGTACTTTGATCTAATATTCTACACGGCGAATAGCTCAAAATTAATGAAGCAATAATGAATTCAATTCGAGTGGCTCGGCATAGACAAGAGATATGTGTATATAAATTTATAACACACAAGAGAGTCGCTGACGACCTTGACACAAAGACCGGCAACTGCTTTTGGACTGAAACGAGCTGCGGTCTGATCAGGTCTGCGTTTGGGTCTGCGCTTGGGTCTGATCTGTGCCAGACCAAAGTCTACAGTTTGGCTTCGCTTGGCTAGTTGTCCGACCGGTTATTGCAGAGGCCTGAACACAATTTTCGTTAGTCTTTGCTTTTGTAAATGTGCAGATACACTCAAAGAAACAAGTAGTGTATACTGATTGAAATCCCATTTTCCTAATATCGATAACTATCGATTTTAAGTTATCGTTTCTTGAGCATAACTCGTAGATTTTAATAGCTGGCTACATCAAATTTGTTATGTCGGTTCTCTTGTATAAAACATAGAGAAAAAATGATTCAATTTTTGTATACCCTTCCCCGCTTCTATTATAAGCGAAAAAAACTCATTCTTGAAGTTAGAACCTGGCGCCTTGGTATTTACACAGTTTTATATGACATATTTAAGGGCCGCAAATTTCATGAAGATCGGACTATAAGCAACAGAGTTATTAGAGAATGCATTTCTCATAGATAGGGTGGGGGAAAGGGAAGAAACAGCTGATAGAGAGTGTGTGTGTGTGTGTGTGTGTTATGTGTGTGTGTGTTTGTATGCTCCCATATATAACAGATAACTAGGAATCTATTTATTCATCTTTCTATCTATCAATCTATCCATCTATCTATCTATCTATCTATCTATCTATCTATCTATCTATCTATGTGTCTATCTATCTATCTATCTATCTATCTATCTATCTATCTATCTATATATTTATCTATTTATCTAGCTATCTATCTATCTGTCTATCTTTATATCTATCTGTTCCTCCATCTATCTCTCCATCTATCTATCTATCTATGTGTCTATCTATCTATCTATCTATCTATCTATCTATCTATCTATCTATCTATCTATCTGTCTATCTATCCATATATCAATCTATCTATCTATCTATCTATCTATCTATCTATCTATCTACCTATCTATCTACTTATCTGTCTATCTATGTATCTATCTATCTATCTATCTATCTATTTAGCTGTCTATCTATATATCTATATATCTATCTATCTATCTATATATCTGTCTATCTATCCATATATCAGTCTATCTATCTATCTATCTATCTGTCTATCTATCTATCTATATATCTATCTATATATCTATCTATCTATCTATCTATCTATCTGTCTATCTATCTATCTATCTATCTCTCCATCTATCTCTCCATCTATCTAACTATCTATCTAGCTGTGTTCTAGGTTAGGTTTCCGCTTGGTCACTTCCACCTAAAGAACTCTTATAAAATGTATTTAAAAAGCGCCAACATTTTCTGCCAGTGTACTTACATTGAAGCAGGCAAAGCAACAGCCAGAGGCTAACAGTGAGCGGCAGTTGTTTTGGCCAAAACATGATCAGCAGTCGAAGGCTTTGTGGCTTGCATTTAGCGAAGTAGAAGAAACGGTTCGTCTAAAGTTAAGAAACTGTAAAATACACACACACACACACACACATATAGACACGATTACAACATTTGGCTAAAAGTGTGGCGGCTTTTGGGGCTGGTCCGCGGTGCGTCATATGAAAAGGTATTTCAACTATGTCCCAAAAGCTGCGCCGCGTCGCGATATGCAAACCGTTTGCCTTGTGGCTTCAATAAAAAGCGTCAACAAAAAACAGAAAATAAAAAACCGAAAAAAAAAAACGATGGCAAAAAAACTGTTTGGAAATCACTCTCACTTTTGTTCAATGTGCCTTTTCGTGTTGTTGTTGTTGTTGAAATTTTTTTTCGACTGTTTTTGTTTTTGTTTAGGTTTTGCCAACAGCATCAATGCGCTCCACGTCTTGTTATACCCTTGCAGTGGGTATTTCAATTTCCAAAAGGCTTTCGTAACGGCAGCTCTTTGATTGGATGTGACTATTCGATATAGAAGCTAGCTAGCCATCTATTTAACAGACTATGTGAATGGGTTTTGATGTGCCTCAATTTTGTTGCAACTCGATGAAAATTCTTTTTTGCATATCTCAAGCCCGGTTAGATTTGATTAGCATAGCATATAGTTTATATACTTGAACATTGCTATAAATAGGTGGAAAATTGTTTACTTGTAGTATAAAAATAAGTCGGTTTTTTCTCTGGAAAATCTCATGTGAATCTGTTTCCCTATACTCACTATATCTCTGCGATCTCGCGTACGAAATCCTGTTACTAAACGAAGTTTTTTCTTCTGCTGAATCTAACGCAAGCTCATAAATCTTTTAATATATTTGTTCAACTCAGACTGAACTGTCTATAAAGAGAATCTCATCTGAATCATCTGAGCACGATGCCATGAGATCTCCACGAGAATCTACTATATTTGAATCATATCGTCTGTTTTCATTTGATATGCCATGTCTGCAAGGGTATTTCAGCTTCGATCTTGCCGAAATGCACTCTTTTTGTGGCTTTTTTTATACCCTTGCAGAGGATATTTTAATTTTGTCGTGAAATGTGTAACGCATAGAAGGAGACATCTCCGACCCCATAGAGTATATATATTCTTGATCAGCATCAACAGCCGAGTCGATATAGCCATGTCCGTCTGTCCGTCTGTCCGTCTGTCTGTCTCTATGCGAACTAGTCCCTCAGTTTTAGGACTATCTTTATGAAACTTTGCAGAAGTCTCTTTTTCTGTTGCACGCAGCACATATGTCAAAACCAGCTAGATCTGACCACTATATCATATAGCTGCCATAGGAACGATCGGCCGAAAATTAAGTTGTTGTATGGAAAAATTTTTTGTTTTTCACGATATCTTGACCAAACTCGGCATTTATAAGTTATACTATGCTCTTCATATAAATGCAAAATCCCATTAAGATCGGACCACTATATCATATATCTGCCATAGGAACGATCTGTCGAAAACTAGGTTTTTGATTAAAAACCTTTTTTGTTTATCAAGATATCTTGGCCAAAGTCGGCAATTATTATTTATACTAAGCTCCTCATATATATGCAAAATCCCATTAAGATCGGACCACTATATCATATAGCTGTCATAGGAACGATCAGTCGAAAACTAAGTTTTTGATTAAAAACCTTTTTTGTTTATCAAGATATCTTGCCCAAACTCGGCATTAACTATTTACCCTGTGCTTCTTAGATACGGGCAAAGCACTATAAGCATTATGAAAAGGTTGGGTCTGCAAGGGTATTAGATCTTCGGTGTGCCGAAGATAGCCTTTCTTGCTCGTTTTTTTTGTTGGTTTAATTTCAACTATTTGATGCGGCCTTGTCTTAAGCGTTGTTTGGTTTTGTTTTGGAATTTTGTAACTCTTATTATTATACTTTTATATATATTGAATATATTTTATTTATTGGCTCTAAATTTGATTTGCACTTTTAAATGTTGCTAATCAACGGCGCAAATAGCGTTGTATTTGTTGAAAATGAAAGCGCGCGTTGCAAGCTGTTGAAAACAAATTTTGGTTTCGATTTCAATTTCGTTTTGAGCCCAAAAATAAATACTGTGCCCGTTTACACCAGCCACATACAAATGGCCTCATAATACGAGCTTAGGCTTTGCTTACATTTGTGTGTCTTGATTATTTTTATTTTTATTGAATTTTATTTTCGTGCACACATTTTGGTTTCGCTTTGACAACCTGCCCGGTTCGCGGCTGCGGCACAACTGAAATGGAGAGTGGAACAACTTGCAACACGGCCTCAGCTCCAGCTCAGGTCCCAGCTTCAGATTCGGCTTGAGCTGGGGTGGAGCGTTCGTAAAACATCACGTAACACTCGCATACCCTGTAGCTGCTGGGTAAGCAACGGGGTATAACAGCTTGGTGCACATGTATGTCACAGACAAAATTGGGGTTCTTCTAAAGTATTTGCCAGAAAAGCGAGACTGGAGGGTTTAAATATGTATATATTTGATTAGTTTGTTACCTTATTATCGATAAATATCGATTTTTAAGCAAGGCTTATTTTCTAAGCTTATTTTCGAGCTTTTTAATGCTACAAACTGGAAAGTATAACTACATATGCTCATGGCTTGTCCATTTTCCATATGCACGCCATATTCAGTTATCGATAAATATCGATCAACTTATTCTAAGCATATCTCGTAACTTATTAAAGCTAGCGACTCTAAAGTCGAAATATACATTCCTGTGGCTTTTCTTTTTTTCGATATCCATAATTTTCATCATTATTAAAGTGAGCGACTGGAATGTAGAAAAATAGAATAGTATAGTTTACATACTTTTCGATGATCAGCAGCTTCTACATAAAATCGATAACTATTGATTTTTTATCAAGAATTTTGGAGCACATCACGTAGATTAATAGGGCTATAAGCTGGAAAGCAGAAAAATACAAGCTTCTAGTTAAATTTTCACTTTTATCATAAAATCGATATTTATCGATTCGAAAGCAATGCATGTAGGCATGTAGGCTTACACATGAATTAGATGGATTCTTTCCATTAAAAATACCTCGCTTCTACGGCAACTTGAGGCTGTTTACAGGGCATGTCCCAGTCAGTCACTTGTCGTAGTTTTTGTTGTATTATCTCTGAGGCCAGCTTCAGTTTCAGTTTCTTCTCTGAGACCGGCTCTCGAGCTCGGCGCACTTGGCTTCACATGGGCTCCGCTCTGCTCCGCTCTGATCTGCTCTGCTGGGGCGTGGCAGAGCTCCGCAATTACCCGCACTCGCAACAGGTATATATTTATATATATGTAATCATGTCGTACCTGTGCTAGGTGTCTGCGGCGTGTGTAAGGTTGTGACAGGCGTTTTTGGCACAGTCCTGCGCCGACTTGGCCGCTTTTCCATAATTCCAATCATTTTTTGCTGTGAACGCAGCTGTTGGCCCATTTACTGAGTTGATAATGATTCACTCGAGTTAAGATCGGCATTGATGAAGAGGAAGACAAAAGCGCGCGATTTATGATGAAAGTCTCGAAATGTAATTGTGGACTTTTTGTTAATGTCAAAATATGCGTAGTTAAACCCACGATTAAAGTGTTAAATAAATAAAGTAGATGTCAACATTAAAGAGATTAATCCAGTTGCTGTTGATTGACTAGAAGATACCCTGTAACTAGGAAGAAAAAATCGCGCGATTTATGATGAAAGTTGCGCAAGGTAATTGTGGACTTTTTGCTAATGTCAAAATAAGCGTAGTTAAAGAAGATAGATTCGCTTGCTTGACTGAGAGATACCCTGTAACTAGCATATATTTGTAGTTAAATCGAACTATATAAGTTTTGCTTTTCTCTTCTTGCTTCCGACTTTCGAGTTCATTGAACGCTTTAATCTTATGCTTTACTGTACAGTGAAGTTTTGAGCTCATATTTTGCATAAGCTAATAGTCGCCGAGCACAGAGAGACAGACTGTGAAACCTTGAACGCCCACCTAAGAGCTTATGCAGCTGAGCTATGTTTGACATTTGGCTGTAAAACCTCATGTTTAATTAGCCAAGACAAAGTGTTATGCAACACATACACACACACACACACACAGAGCGGCAGACACAACTATTAAGCTAGAGAATTGCTGTCTGTCTGTATTGAACCGCAGCAAATGGCCGGGGTAAAGACGTAGACGTAGGTCAATGCATCAATGGCAAACAATTGGCCAACAGCTTTTGGCCATAATTGTCAAAGCGTGGCTAACTAATGTTTACTTGGGCCAGCACGTCGTTAAAGAGATGTTCAAGTGTTGACGATTTTACTGCCTATGCAAGTTGTCAAGTTGCTGGCGTGAAAAAGTGCGAAAGTTTGGACTACAACAAATGCATATATATTTGTCTTAAATGAACTTTTGAATAGGCCCATTAAAAGTTGTGCATATGTTTCCCAAGGCCCGCTACTAAGATCTTCTATTTTATAAGCTTCACTTCGTGAAATGTTAAAAAGCGTTGCATGCTTTCAGGCGGCCGCTGTAATGTTTAACAGTTGCTGTTAAGCTGCTGTTATGTTAAGACTGAAGCTGCGCTTTAGCTGTTAATGACAGTGCTGCCAACCTTCGCTTGATTTAAGTCAAATCTATTAAATCGAACCAAGCAAGAATAATGTTGCCAGATTTAGATGCTTAATTGAACTACAAGCCAAACCTTTAAAAAAGTCGCCCGAGTTATGGGTATGAGAAATTTTGGCCCATATTTGAGGGTATTAATTTCACATGAATTATGACCAAAAATAACGTTGCCAGATTTAAATGCCAAATTGATTTAGAGGCCAAAGCATGCAGAACAAAACAAATCTCGTGAAAATCGGATGAGATTTGACCGAGTTATGTGTATGGGAAACTTTGACCCAGGCATATATATAGGATATTTATTTTATATAGGATATGCGTTGATAACCAATCAATCAGTCAATCAATCAATCAGTCAGTCATTCAGAACAAGCAGTTTTATTTATAGAGATTCATTTTTGAGTTGGCAAAATTATGGAGCCTTTGTCATCGCCATAAATCAATATTAACGTAGCGCCATAAATAACGTGATGAACCGATTAAATGCCGCAAATTTGACAAACTGACATTTCGTTGCTTTTTATAGTTTGTTATGGCATATACATGTGCAGCCTACATAGAACCGACAAATTCATATTTATATTTCGAGTGTTTGCCAGGCAAAAAAAAATTAAAAGTAAATTGGGTAAATGCTAAAATAAATAAAGAATGAAATAAATGTTAAAATAAAATTAAAAATAATAGAAAGAATAGTTGTAGAAATCAAATATTTAAAAATGACAAAAACTCAAACCCTTATGAAAAAAAGGTAATTTTAGCTTTATTTGACAGCCTTTTTTCTCGCCTAATAAAAGCTGTTTTGCCCACAAAAAATGGGCAGCACTGGCAATCAGAAAATTTGTGTGTGGGCCGCTAGGCATCATATTAAATTAAAACAAGTAAGAGGCCGACTAGGCCCGACTAGGGAATACCCTGAACCCTCTTCTTGCAACATCAAATGCATATATATATTCTATTTTAAAAGCTATATGTCAAGTTTGCTGACTCTAGCTCTTATTATTTAACAAAATTGCCCAAAAAACAGGATATCGAGATCGATTTTTATCGATTGCTTGGAAACGGAGTAAGTTATCGATTATCGGAAACAAACTCGATCTACGCAGGCACGAGGAGCATCTACATCTATTCAATTTCAAGTCTCTAGCTCTTATAGGTTCCGAGATCCTTGCGTTCATACATACGGACGGACGGACGGACGGACGGACGGACGGACGGACGGACGGACGGACGGACGGACGGACGGACGGACGGACGGACGGACGGACGGACGGACTGACAGACGGACTGACAGACGGACATGGCTAGATCGACTCGGCTATTGATGCTGATCAAGAATATATATACTTTATACTTCTGCCTGTTACATACATTTGGATTTCGTAACCCTTATGAAAAAAAGATAATGTTAGCTTTATTTAACAGCCTTTTTTCTGTTTTGCCCACCAAAAATGGGCAGCACTGGCGATCAGAAAAGTTGTGCGTGGGCCGCCTTTCATCATATTAAAATATTAAAAATACTTAAACCAAGTCCATACGGAAAACAAGTTCTTATTGCGACATTTAAAATAATTGTTTTTTTAATTTTTTTTTTTATTGATTTTTATTGTTCTTCTGGTTTTTGTTTAGAGCTAAAGCGCTAATTGTATAATAACAAATTAAATAACTAAAGTTTTTCAATTTTACATTCAACATTTAGAAACCAATTGATTTTTGATTTAATTTTTTTTTTTTTGAATAAATTAATACGAGCAGCGTTATTAATTTAAATATTATTATAATAATTATAAATCGTACATAAAACATATAACAATTGTTTCACAGTTCAGCGACATTTTTGTATAATTATTATATATATATATATATATATATATATATATATATATATTTTTTTTTTTATAATTACATTTTACATTTATAATTAAATTGTTCTTCGTGTTTTGTTTTTTTTTTTTCTTCTTATTTTTTTATATTTTTTATTAGACTACGCACTACACTAACAACGATGTGTAAAAATAAATGTGTTTATTTTTATTTTTATTTTATTTTATTTTGTTTGTTTTTTTGTTTTAATTTCTTGTCTCGTATATTTAGCATACTCAGAGTATGCTGCTTGTATTTAGAAATTCTTTGTGTTTATTTTTCTTTCTGCTTTTTCGATACTCTTTTCTTTCGAACTGCAGCTGATATTTTCATTAGTGTCGAATGTTTAACATTTTGTTTTTATGCTGTAGGTAACGAGGTAAAGTGCGCCTTGTTCAAAAATCGACACAGTCAATTCCATGCCGCAAATGTGGTGGAGGAGGGAGCGGGGGGGGGGAGGGTTGGTTGTGTGTGTGGGAGGGGGGGGGGGGGGCTTTTATCAATGCCACGCGAACAACGAATGCGAGACCAATAAATAGCCCGTTGTCACAATTATGCTGCCAATCATTATGGGAAAACCAACTCTGTTGAACAAAAGAAAGCAAGTGATTATTATTTATTAAAAGCTTTAATCATCATTATTAAAAGTTGTAGGCTTTAATCGATATTAGGTCGAGTTTATAGCTAATAAGTATGTCTTTAATTCTGCGCTTAGCTTTGCTGTGAAGCGAAAGTTAGGTTGTAGCTCGTTAAAGGAGCTTTGAGCTTTCAGCTTATTAATGAGCTTTCATGTGCTTTAATAAAAATTCGTTAAAACTGACTTTTTGGATAGCCCAAAACTTAGCTCATATTCCTTAAAAATATACAAATGCCCTATTTTAATTTGTAATGTTAATAACAAATTAAATCTAACGCAAGCAAAGCTTATTTTTCATGCACTTTTTGAGTCCTTTAAGAGCTTTAGCATGAGACTGTTAAGTTAAATAGAGAGCGTAATATGGAGCTTTAAGCTTTAAGTTAGATAATTGTCTTTTACTTTATGAGTTCTTAAAGCTTTCATAAGCTTTAATGTGGAACTTTTAAATCAAAAAGCGCTTTAGGCTGAAGCTCAGTTGAGTTCAATTAGGACTTCATGTTATTGAAAGTCTCCTTTTTGAGCACATGCTACACTAATACACATATATTAAAATAAATTTAAATGGATTGTTACTCACTTGAAAAACTCGAGAAATGTGAATTTATAGCCATGTTGCTCGGCAACTCCAGCACAAACCACATTCGCCGAGGCGCCAATCAATGTGCCATTGCCTAGCAGAATATATGTATGTAAAGCGAAAGTTAAGCAAGAATCGGATATGCACTTACCGCCCAGACAGGCGCCCAAGGCGAGTGCCCAGACCAATGGCTGCAGCGGCAGGTTCAAGGTGCTATTCTGCGCCAGGGAAATTGTGATCTTGACCATCATCGTGGTCAGCGGAATATTGTCCACGAAAGCGGATGCCACAGCAGATACCTATAAAAAGGAAAATAAATCAAATACTTGCTTGACATAATAGATATAGGCCTCTCTTGCTGATAAATTTTCATTCTAAACTTGAACCAGCGACCTTTCCTTTGCTAGTTCGACGCTTACATATCTAAGCTGCACAGGCTCAGTTAGATTTCCGACTTCACTTACCTAGAGTATTGTCAACATGGCTCATACTGAATTTGAACCAGCGACCTTTCCTTTGCTAGTTCGACGCTCACATATCTAAGCTGCACAGGCTCAGTTAGATTTCCGACTTCACTTACCTAGAGTATTGTCAACATGGCTCATACTGAATTTGAACCAGCGACCTTTCCTTTGCTAGTTCGACGCTCACATATCTAAGCTGCACAGGCTCAGTTTGATTTCTTGACCTTACTTACCTAAAGTACGATCAATATGGCTCATACTGAATTAGAACCAGCAACCTTTCGCTTGCCAGTTCAATGCTCTCAGCCACACAGGCTTTGTTAGATGTTTTTGGTCCCTACTTACCCAGAGTATTATCAATATGGCCACCATCAAACGTCGATCCTCGCCCACGCCCAATATAATGCCCTCCGTCATATTGCCGATCCATTCGATCAGGCCCAGCTCTGTCAGCGCTTCCATTAGTATAAAGAGCGCGGCAAAGAACAGCAATGTGGACCATTCGACACGCGCCAATATCGCCTCCAGATCCTCAATGTCTGCCAATATTATTAGGAATATGGCGCCCAATAGGGCCGTCCAGCCCAGGGAGAGACGCTGCAGTTCCGGCACCGAATGCAAAAAGAATAAGCTGATCACAAAGATCAATGCGGCGGTGCACTTGACCAGCAGCTGCTTGTTGCGAACCGGATACTAGAGAAAGAAGGGGGAGAGATGTTGTCAATAAATTAGACTTATCTTTAGGAGAGATTCGTTAATATATGTCGTAGTTATCGCTTGTCTTTAAACATTAAACTAACTAATAGATAAGAAGAGTTTAACCTAAACTGAAGCTTAGATTGAGTTCAAGAACTTACACTTATTTGAGTCGAGACTGCCCAACTATGTAATACTCTGCAACCCTTAACCCTCCATTGAAACCTACCTTTAAACTTTTCTAAATAACTCTTGCGTTTTCTTTGCGATCACTAATTTTGTTATATAGTGTAAGATCTATGAAAAAACGCCATGCCAAGTTTTGTGGGCCTAACTTTTATCACGCTACGCTTAAAGAAAGTATGTTGACAATCGATATTTATCGATATTTGGAAAGTTGAATAGCAAATATATTTCTAAATGCAGATCTGTAATCATTTTAGCCCTCATATTAACCGAGCTATGCTCAAAAATCTCATCCGAGTTTGGCATGAAATTCGACTAAAAAATATGTGTTCAGATTTGAATGCCAGATTAATCTAGAGAGAAAACTATGAAGAAAAAGCCAAACCTCGTGAAAATCGGATGAGATTTGGCCGAGATATGGGGGTGGTAATTTTTGACCCATGTCTATATACGAATCTTGGGGTAAGATTTGGACATGATTTTCGACCAAAAAATCGGTGTCGAGATTTGAATGCCACATTATTCTAGAGGGAAAACCATGAAGAAAAAGCCAAACTTCGTGAAAATCGGATGAGATTTGACCGAGATATGGGGTTGGTAAATTTTGACCCATGTCTATATACGAATCTTGGGGTAAGATTTGGACATGATTTTCGACCAAAAAATCGTTGTCGAGATTTGAATGCCACATTATTCTAGAGGGAAAACCATGAAGAAAAAGCTAAACTTCGTGAAAATCGGATGAGATTTGGCCGAGATATGGGGTTGGTAAATTTTGACCCATGTCTATATACGAATCTTGGGGTAAGATTTGGACATGATTTTCGACCAAAAAATCGGTGTCGAGATTTGAATGCCAGATTAATCTAGAGGGAAAACCATGAAGAAAAAGCCAAACTTCGTGAAAATCGGATGAGATTTGACCGAGTTATGGGGGTGGTAAATTTTGACCCATGTCTATATACGAATCTTGGGGTAAGATTTGGACATGATTTTCGACAAAAAAAATCGGTGTCGAGATTTGAATGCCACATTATTCTAGAGGGAAAACCATGAAGAAAAATCCAAACCTCGTGAAAATCGGATGAGATTTGGCCGAGATATGGGGTTGGTAAATTTTGACCCATGTCTATATACGAATCTTGGGGTAAGATTTGGACATGATTTTCAACAAAAAAATCGTTGTCGAGATTTGAATGCCACATTATTCTAGAGGGAAAACCATGAAGAAAAAGCCAAACTTCGTGAAAATCGGATGAGATTTGGCCGAGATATCGGGTTGGTAAATTTTGACCCATGTCTATATACGAATCTTGGGGTAAGATTTTGACATGAATTTCGACCAAAAAATCGGTGTCGAGATTTGAATGCCACATTATTCTAGAGGGAAAACCATGAAAAAAAGGCCAAACTTCGTGAAAATCGGATGAGATTTGGCCGAGATATGGGGTTGGTAAATTTTGACCCATGTCTATATACGAATCTTGGGGTAAGATTTGGACATGATTTTCGACCAAAAAATCGGTTTCGAGATTTGAATGCCACATTATTCTAGAGGGAAAACCATTTGACCGAGTTATGGGGGTGGTAAATTTTGACCCATGTCTATATACGAATCTTGGGGTAAGGTTTGGACATGATTTTCGATCAAACAATCGGTGTCGAGATTTGAATGCCACATTATTCTAGAGGGGAAACCATGAAGAAAAAGCCAAACTTCGTGAAAATCGAATGAGATTTGACCGAGTTATGGGGGTGGTAAATTTTGACCCATGTCTATATACGAATCTTGGGGTAAGGTTTGGACATGATTTTCGATCAAACAATCGGTGTCGAGATTTGAATGCCACATTATTCTAGAGGGAAAACCATGAAGAAAAAGCCAAACTTCGTGAAAATCGGATGAGATTTGGCCGAGATATGGGGGTGGTACATTTTGACCCATGTCTATGTACCAATCTTGGGGTAAGATTTGGACATGAATTTCGACCAAAAAATCGGTGTCGAGATTTGAATGCCACATTATTTTAGAGGGAAAACCATGAAGAAAAAGCCAAACTTCGTGAAAATCGGATGAGATTTGACCGAGTTATGGGGGTGGTAAATTTTGACCCATGTCTATATACGAATCTTGGGGTAAGGTTTGGACATGATTTTCGATCAAACAATCGGTGTCGAGATTTGAATGCCACATTAAGGTAAGATTTGGACATGATTTTCGACCAAAAAATCGGTGTTCAGATTTGAATGCCAGATCAATCTAGAGGGAAAACCATGAAGAAAAAGCCAAACTTCGTGAAAATCGGATGAGATTTGACCGAGATATGGGGTGGTAAATTTTGACCCATGTCTATATACGAATCTTGGGGTAAGATTTGGACATGATTTTCGACCAAAAAATCGGTGTTCAGATTTGAATGCCAGATCAATCTAGAGGGAAAACCATGAAGAAAACGCCAAACTTCGTGAAAATCGGATAAGATTTGACCGAGTTATGGGGGTGGTAAATTTTGACCCATGTCTATATACGAATCTTGGGGTAAGATTTGGACATGATTTTCGACCAAAAAATCGGTGTTCAGATTTGAATGCCAGATTAATCTAGAGGGAAAACCATGAAGAAAACGCCAAACTTCGTGAAAATCGGATAAGATTTGACCGAGTTATGGGGGTGGTAAATTTTGACCCATGTCTATATACGAATCTTGGGTAAGATTTGGACATGATTTTCGACCAAAAAATCGGTATCGAGATTTGAATGCCACATTATTCTAGAGGGAAAACCATGAAGAAAAAGCCAAACTTCGTGAAAATCGGATGAGATTTGACCGAGTTATGGGGGTGGTAAATTTTGACCCATGTCTATATACGAATCTTGGGGTAAGATTTGGACATGATTTTCGACAAAAAAATCGTTGTCGAGATTTGAATGCCACATTATTCTAGAGGGAAAACCATGAAGAAAAAGCCAAACTTCGTGAAAATCGGATGAGATTTGGCCGAGATATGGGGTTGGTAAATTTTGACCCATGTCTATATACGAATCTTGGGGTAAGATTTGGACATGATTTTCGACCAAAAAATCGGTGTCGAGATTTGAATGCCAGATTAATCTAGAGGGAAACCCATGAAGAAAAAGCCAAACTTCGTGAAAATCGGATGAGATTTGGCCGAGATATGGGGGTGGTAAATTTTGACCCATGTCTATATACGAATCTTGGGGTAAGATTTGGACATGATTTTCGACAAAAAAATCGGTGTCGAGATTTGAATGCCACATTATTCTAGAGGGAAAACCATGAAGAAAAATCCAAACCTCGTGAAAATCGGATGAGATTTGGCCGAGATATGGGGGTGGTAAATTTTGACCCATGTCTATATACGAATCTTGGGGTAAGATTTGGACATGAATTTCGACCAAAAAATCGGTGTCGAGATTTGAATGCCACATTATTCTAGAGGGAAAACCATGAAAAAAAAGCCAAACTTCGTGAAAATCGGATGAGATTTGACCGAGATATGGGGTGGTCAATTTTGACCCATGTCTATATACGAATCTTGGGGTAAGATTTGGACATGATTTTCGACCAAAAAATCGGTGTCGAGATTTGAATGCCAGATTATCTAGAGGGAAACCCATGAAGAAAAAGCCAAACTTCGTGAAAATCGGATGAGATTTGGCCGAGATATGGGGGTGGTAAATTTTGACCCATGTCTATATACGAATCTTGGGGTAAGGTTTGGACATGATTTTCGATCAAACAATCGGTGTCGAGATTTGAATGCCACATTATTCTAGAGGGAAAACCATGAAGAAAAAGCCAAACTTCGTGAAAATCGGATGAGATTTGGCCGAGATATGGGGGTGGTACATTTTGACCCATGTCTATGTACCAATCTTGGGGTAAGATTTGGACATGAATTTCGACCAAAAAATCGGTGTCGAGATTTGAATGCCACATTATTCTAGAGGGAAAACCATGAAAAAAAGGCCAAACTTCGTGAAAATCGGATGAGATTTGGCCGAGATATGGGGTTGGTAAATTTTGACCCATGTCTATATACGAATCTTGGGGTAAGATTTGGACATGATTTTCGACCAAAAAATCGGTTTCGAGATTTGAATGCCACATTATTCTAGAGGGAAAACCATTTGACCGAGTTATGGGGGTGGTAAATTTTGACCCATGTCTATATACGAATCTTGGGGTAAGGTTTGGACATGATTTTCGATCAAACAATCGGTGTCGAGATTTGAATGCCAGATTAATCTAGAGGGAAACCCATGAAGAAAAAGCCAAACTTCGTGAAAATCGGATGAGATTTGGCCGAGATATGGGGTTGGTAAATTTTGACCCATGTCTATATACGAATCTTGGGGTAAGATTTGGACATGATTTTCAACAAAAAAATCGTTGTCGAGATTTGAATGCCACATTATTCTAGAGGGAAAACCATGAAGAAAAAGCCAAACTTCGTGAAAATCGGATGAGATTTGGCCGAGATATCGGGTTGGTAAATTTTGACCCATGTCTATATACGAATCTTGGGGTAAGATTTTGACATGAATTTCGACCAAAAAATCGGTGTCGAGATTTGAATGCCACATTATTCTAGAGGGAAAACCATGAAAAAAAGGCCAAACTTCGTGAAAATCGGATGAGATTTGGCCGAGATATGGGGTTGGTAAATTTTGACCCATGTCTATATACGAATCTTGGGGTAAGATTTGGACATGATTTTCGACCAAAAAATCGGTTTCGAGATTTGAATGCCACATTATTCTAGAGGGAAAACCATTTGACCGAGTTATGGGGGTGGTAAATTTTGACCCATGTCTATATACGAATCTTGGGGTAAGGTTTGGACATGATTTTCGATCAAACAATCGGTGTCGAGATTTGAATGCCACATTATTCTAGAGGGGAAACCATGAAGAAAAAGCCAAACTTCGTGAAAATCGAATGAGATTTGACCGAGTTATGGGGGTGGTAAATTTTGACCCATGTCTATATACGAATCTTGGGGTAAGGTTTGGACATGATTTTCGATCAAACAATCGGTGTCGAGATTTGAATGCCACATTATTCTAGAGGGAAAACCATGAAGAAAAAGCCAAACTTCGTGAAAATCGGATGAGATTTGGCCGAGATATGGGGGTGGTACATTTTGACCCATGTCTATGTACCAATCTTGGGGTAAGATTTGGACATGAATTTCGACCAAAAAATCGGTGTCGAGATTTGAATGCCACATTATTTTAGAGGGAAAACCATGAAGAAAAAGCCAAACTTCGTGAAAATCGGATGAGATTTGACCGAGTTATGGGGGTGGTAAATTTTGACCCATGTCTATATACGAATCTTGGGGTAAGGTTTGGACATGATTTTCGATCAAACAATCGGTGTCGAGATTTGAATGCCACATTATTCTAGAGGGAAAACCATGAAGAAAAAGCCAAACTTCGTGAAAATCGGATGAGATTTGACCGAGATATGGGGTGGTAAATTTTGACCCATGTCTATATACGAATCTTGGGGTAAGATTTGGACATGATTTTCGACCAAAAAATCGGTGTTCAGATTTGAATGCCAGATCAATCTAGAGGGAAAACCATGAAGAAAACGCCAAACTTCGTGAAAATCGGATAAGATTTGACCGAGTTATGGGGGTGGTAAATTTTGACCCATGTCTATATACGAATCTTGGGGTAAGATTTGGACATGATTTTCGACCAAAAAATCGGTGTTCAGATTTGAATGCCAGATTAATCTAGAGGGAAAACCATGAAGAAAACGCCAAACTTCGTGAAAATCGGATAAGATTTGACCGAGTTATGGGGGTGGTAAATTTTGACCCATGTCTATATACGAATCTTGGGTAAGATTTGGACATGATTTTCGACCAAAAAATCGGTATCGAGATTTGAATGCCACATTATTCTAGAGGGAAAACCATGAAGAAAAAGCCAAACTTCGTGAAAATCGGATGAGATTTGACCGAGTTATGGGGGTGGTAAATTTTGACCCATGTCTATATACGAATCTTGGGGTAAGATTTGGACATGATTTTCGACAAAAAAATCGTTGTCGAGATTTGAATGCCACATTATTCTAGAGGGAAAACCATGAAGAAAAAGCCAAACTTCGTGAAAATCGGATGAGATTTGGCCGAGATATGGGGTTGGTAAATTTTGACCCATGTCTATATACGAATCTTGGGGTAAGATTTGGACATGATTTTCGACCAAAAAATCGGTGTCGAGATTTGAATGCCAGATTAATCTAGAGGGAAACCCATGAAGAAAAAGCCAAACTTCGTGAAAATCGGATGAGATTTGGCCGAGATATGGGGGTGGTAAATTTTGACCCATGTCTATATACGAATCTTGGGGTAAGATTTGGACATGATTTTCGACAAAAAAAATCGGTGTCGAGATTTGAATGCCACATTATTCTAGAGGGAAAACCATGAAGAAAAATCCAAACCTCGTGAAAATCGGATGAGATTTGGCCGAGATATGGGGGTGGTAAATTTTGACCCATGTCTATATACGAATCTTGGGGTAAGATTTGGACATGAATTTCGACCAAAAAATCGGTGTCGAGATTTGAATGCCACATTATTCTAGAGGGAAAACCATGAAAAAAAAGCCAAACTTCGTGAAAATCGGATGAGATTTGACCGAGCTATGGGGGTGGTAAATTTTGACCCATGTCTATATACGAATCTTGGGGTAAGGTTTGGACATGATTTTCGATCGAACAATCGGTGTCGAGATTTGAATGCCACATTATTCTAGAGGGAAAACCATGAAGAAAAAGCCAAACTTCGTGAAAATCGGATGAGATTTGGCCGAGATATGGGGTTGGTAAATTTTGACCCATGTCTATATACGAATCTTGGGGTAAGATTTGGACATGATTTTCGACCAAAAAATCGTTGTCGAGATTTGAATGCCACATTATTCTAGAGGGAAAACCATGAAGAAAAAGCCAAACTTCGTGAAAATCGGATGAGATTTGGCCGAGATATGGGGGTGGTACATTTTGACCCATGTCTATATACGAATCTTGGGGTAAGATTTGGACATGATTTTCGACCAAAAAATCGTTGTCGAGATTTGAATGCCACATTATTCTAGAGGGAAAACCATTTGACCGAGTTATGGGGGTGGTAAATTTTGACCCATGTCTATATACGAATCTTGGGGTAAGGTTTGGACATGATTTTCGACCAAACAATCGGTGTCGAGATTTGAATGCCACATTATTCTAGAGGGAAAACCATGAAAAAAAGGCCAAACTTCGTGAAAATCGGATGAGATTTGGCCGAGATATGGGGGTGGTACATTTTGACCCATGTCTATACACGAATCTTGGGGTAAGATTTGGACATGATTTTCGACCAAAAAATCGTTGTCGAGATTTGAATGCCACATTATTCTAGAGGGAAAACCATGAAGAAAAGGCCAAACTTCGTGAAAATCGAATGAGATTTGACCGAGTTATGGGGGTGGTAAATTTTGACCCATGTCTATACACGAATCTTGGGGTAAGATTTGGACATGATTTTCGACCAAAAAATCGTTGTCGAGATTTGAATGCCACATTATTCTAGAGGGAAAACCATGAAGAAAAAGCGAAACTTCGTGAAAATCGGATGAGATTTGACCGAGATATGGGGTGGTAAATTTTGACCCATGTCTATATACGAATCTTGGGGTAAGATTTGGACATGATTTTCGACCAAAAAATCGGTGTTCAGATTTGAATGCCAGATCAATCTAGAGGGAAAACCATGAAGAAAACGCCAAACTTCGTGAAAATCGGATAAGATTTGACCGAGTTATGGGGGTGGTAAATTTTGACCCATGTCTATATACGAATCTTGGGGTAAGATTTTGGCGTGAAATTCGACTAAAAAATATGATTTGAGTGCCAGATTTATCTGGAGGGAAAACTATGAAGAAAAAGCCAAACCTCGTGAGAATCGGATGAGATTTGACCAATTTGTGGGGGTGGGAAAATTCGACCTATGTCCATATATCATTTCTGAGTGTAACATTTTGACATGAATTTCGACCAAAAATGGTGTTGTCAGATTTTGATGCCAAATTGATTTACAGGTCAAACCATAATCAAAACCCCAAGTTTCGTGAGAATCGGATGAGATTTGACCAAGTTATGGGGTTGGGAAATTTTGACCCATGTCTATATAGAAATCTTGGGGTAAGATTTTGGCATAAAATTCGACTAAAAAATATGATTTGAGTGCCAGATTTATCTGGAGGAAAAACTATGAAGAAAAAGCCAAACCTCGTGAGAATCGGATGAGATTTGACCATTTGACCATTTGTTGATAATAGATATTTTATTTGTTGGTGGTCGATATTTATCGGTTCTCTTGGTAACCGATATTTATCGATTTTTGAATTCTTAAGAGAGTTTAAGATTTTTATCTCCAACAATATAAAACGGCAAAGATCTCTTCAGACAATTTAATCTCGCTCAAGAATATTTATACTTTGCAACTTATCCCAGAAAGTTTCTCCCCAAAATTTCGTATACGTCGTGAACTTACCTTTGCCTGCAGATTGGCCAGGGTTTGTTCGTAGTTGGGCGCCGGTTCAATCACAGCTGTCATGCGTTTCTTGAGGCTTCGTTTAAGGCGATTGACTTTCTTCATTAGGGTCTGACGCACCAGCTCCTCGTCCTTGGAGTAGGCCGAAAGGCTGGCAGCTGCACGCTTCCACACGTGTATCTCATGGCGCAGCTCCTCGACCTCGGCCGAGTCCTTGAACTGCAGATCGCTGATGTTGCGGAACTTAAAGCGTAGTTGTATGTATGTTTGGACCATGACCAGAAGGACGCCGGGCAGCATGTGCAGCGTGAAGACAGCAAAGTTAACGCCCTGTAAAGAGATTTATTGAATTATCGAGAGTTGCACGTGGGGAGGGGTAAAACCCTGCTTCGAGTAATTCATTTGAATCTAGCTCGAATACTCAATTGTTTTAATCGAGCTCGAATTAATCATTCATCAAACCCGAACAGATTCATTCAAACAAAGTTTGATCTGCAACATGTTCGAGCTAATATAACGTGAGACAATACAGGAAAATGATTACTTCGAACTTCGAACTTTGATCGATTAAATAAATTGTTCGAGTATGCGAACAAACGAAGTTCGATGTCCAACATGTTCGAGCGACAACAATGAGACAACAATGATTCGAACTTTGAGTATCCGATACGCGTTACGTTTGACTCGAGGCAGGCATCTAGTTAAGACTTGGGAGTACTCACATTCTTGGATATGTAGCTATTGGAGGCAATGATCACATTGGGCGGATCACCGACGGGCGTCAGAGCGCCACCGATGTTCGAGTAGATGACCATGCACATCAGTATGGGCACCGGATTGAGGGACATGACTTCGCACAGGCGTATCGTAACCGGGGTCATCAGTAGCACCGTTGTCACGTTGTCCAGAAATGAGGAGAGCACCGCAGTGAACAGGCACAGGCAATTGATAAGCGGCCAGACATGTCCGTTGGTTATCTTATACGCATACACGGCCAGATAGTCAAACACGCCCGTCTCGGAGAGTATGGCCACCAGAATCATCATGCCGAAGAGCAGCAGCAGGGTCTCCACATCAATCCAGCCCATGATGGTGGCCATGGAGGGTCGAGAGTTGAGCGCGGCCAATATGCCCACGGATAGCGTTGAGGCAATGATCGCGGCAAAGGTGCGATTCACAATCTCCCAGATGATCATCACATAGAGGCCGCACAGCACGGCGGCGGCATAGAGCACACCATGTCGCTTATAGATGGGCGACTCGTCCACATTCAGCTGGAGCGGCAGCTCGCCCTCGATGCTGCTGGTCAGCTCGAAGCTGAGCCGAGTGCTGTTCGCCTGGGCCAGCCACGTCGGTTCGCCCGGCTGCAGCTCAAAGGTGTGCGTCTTTTTCGTATCCTTGGTGGCATCGATTAGCTCAAAGTACACAATGTCCAGCTGCCAGAGCTCGCTGGCATGCTCCGTGTAAATCTCCTGGCCCTGGGCATCCAGGTAGCTGCGTGTCACCTGCACCTGCAGCACGGGCAGCGGCACGCTCGCGTTCAGCTGCAGCTCGTTCTCCTGCAGCCGGAAGGGTCCGCGCAGGCCCAGCCCGATGCGCTCCAGCGAGGCTGTGCTTATGGGAAAGACTGCGAAGAGAAGGCAATGTAAAGTAGAGCTTAAGTCCGGCTATGATTTGTCACCCACCTCGCGTTGAGCTGTTGCCGGGCACACTGATGAGACTCAACTGATCCACGTGCTCGTTGTTGGACATGAGAAAGGCCGTGAACACGCACCAGACCACCAACAGCACCGATATCTTGAACCAAATCAGATACTTTTTCAGCTGCAAGTAGATGAAAGACAGCCAAGTTCCATTTAGTTTTCCAAAGTTATCAATATTTGCTTTATTATATGAAGAATCGATTCTTTCACTGTAATATATATTCAATTCAGCCCAGGAAAATCAAAATCATTATTGATCGGGTCTTATAGTCCGATTTTTATAAACTTTTCGGGGCTAAATGTGTATTTGTACTCGAAGACTTTCCGATTTGAAATGGAATGGAGAAATACTTCTACAAAATTTTATATTCTGCTTCGGTTTACACTCTTAGCTATACTACATCCCAATTTTGGCGTCTATAGCTCTTATAATTCTCGAGCTGTGCGCTCCGAATCTATATTTTTCCATATCTCGTTAATGCGTTAAGATATTGATAAGAAATTGAGCCTAGTTCTGCCTTTTGTGTACGAAAATATGCATTTAAAATTTCAAGTCTGCAGCTTTCCTAGTTAACGAGATCCTTCGGACAGAAAGACGATCTTGGCTGGATCGAGTCAGCTCGGCGGGATATTCCTTGTATTGAGTTTCTCTTTGTGAAATCTTAACTGTTCTGTAGGAAAACCTTGGTTCGATACTCGTTTCGCTTAGGTTTGGTTGTTTTTGAGGCAATTTCGGACTTGTTTTATGGGCAGAGATATATATATTATTTCTATCCTTTGTATTTAGAGCTTCTCAGCCGCAACCCACTTACGCTGCTTTTGCAGTAGGCGTCGTTATCCTCGTGCTGATCCTCGTTGTTGTTCTCCAGGTCCCTAGAGGTGCGGGGGTATCACAGAAAACTGGTTGCACTAATTACGTAACTGACAATCGAGTCGAACAGAACTACGAACCTGCCGTCCAGCACATGCACCTGCCCCGCCTCGTTCGTCACATTGATGCCAATCTGTGTGAATGCGTGCGCGTCTTCCGTATGGCCATTCAGCTCGTGCTCCTCCCGGTCCATCTCCTGCTGCACGTCATCCGAGGGCATGGGCTCCACATCTACAACAAATAATTTAGCAATTTATTTAGCTTCAATATCATGTAGCCGGGCCGAGGCCAGGGAAAGTATGTGCGTCAGCCAGGCTAAAAATACCCTAAGCTGGCCCCGAACAAAGCAATTGACGTAAAGGATATGCGACAGCAATTCAATTGTTCTCAAATATCTCAATCCGTTTCTCTCAACATAACACGGAAGTCGCAAAGGCCGCGCATTAGCATCAGCATTAGCATTGGTATTAGCTTTGGCATTAGCATATTGTGGCCAGATCCAAAGATAGTAGATGCATCCATTAAACAATTTAAAGTCATAAGCATTTGAGACAAGTTGCGCAAATTGCGCAAATATAAGTTGGGGGCGGGCAAAAAGAAGAACTTGGGAGAATAAATAAACCTGAGCCTGCGGCCAATGTCAATGCCGAGTCTGACACAAATCGCAATAAAAATTGCAACAATAATTACAGCAATAAAAAAAAAGTACCAATAAAAAAAACGAAACAAAAACAAAAATTACACGCTTTATAGGAAATTGTGCATTCAGCTAGCCGAAGACCTAATACGCTTGACAAAAGCTAGTCAAAAGTTCTCTTTGAAAGAAACTTGTTAGAAAAGTTAAAAAAATCTGCTTAAATTTATTATTATATGATTTCAAACTTTTCTAAAAACACTTTAGAGCAATTTTTTGACAATAATCTTTCTTCCTCCCTAAAAATGCAATTTATCGAAAAACAATTGTTATCGATAACATTGGCTTTCTTTATATAATTATTATATTAATAAATTAGATACTTGTTTTGATAATACTATTAGAAAATATAGTGTGTAGAAAGTATGTTCCGCATAGAAACACACACAAATCTATGTTAAGTTATACATTTCGATAATTAATCGATAAATAGTACTAGCTTCGATAGTCTTTATATAAATCTATATAAATTCTTAAAAAATTGAGTGCGCCGTTGACGAAATGCTATATAAGATGAATCCCTTCGTTTCATACGTCTATTCCTATCGATAATTTATCGATAAACACCAAATCTCAAAAGCAAGGATTGCAAATCATATCCAATTGAAACTAAACCAAGTGCCTCAAATTTAAGGCTAAAGAGTTTTAAAACTCTATTTCGCTTCGATAATTAATCGATAAATATATATGCCTCACTTCACAAATTTATTAAAAAAAATATTCAAATAATATACCTCATTTCTTAAACTGAGTTGACAGTTAGAGCATCGAATGCTGCATGTTATCGATAAATTAAGTATCGATAATTTATGGATTATAGGAATATCATGAAAAGTGATTGAAACAGACTGTGTTTTGTTCCAACGACCTCAAATTTAGGGATAAGTATACTACTAAAAAAAGCTATCGATAATATATTGAATAATAATAAACATGCCTATCGATAACATATCGATAATGGGAATAACATAGGCAATGCTTGAAATTGATTGCTTTACTCCATAAGCTTCACATTTCTAAGGACACATTTCTAATGCTCTCCGCCTGGACAAAAACGCGACACACACGCACACACACATATATATGATTGAGGACAAGGGAAACAAATGTTGGGTAGCATTAAAATAAATATATATATATATATAAAAGAAAAAATGGCAAAAGGTGGCTTTGTCCAATGGCCCAAAGACAAGCACTTACCGCCATGTAAACGCTCGTGCTCCTGCCGGAACGATGCTAGGCTGGGATCCTGTCGTATGCGTTCGGGCAGCGCCCGCCACACCTGTAAGGCACCTTCTGTTACTTCGCTGTGGGGAGGGGTGTGGGAGTGGGGGGAGCATGTCCATAAGTTGTGGGAGCCATGAAAAAAAACGATAGAAAAAAAGTGAAACAGACGTAAAGATTTTAGAAGATTACTTGCCTTTAATACAAATACGCATATAAATAAGAAAAAAATTTGTTTTCTCAGGTGTGTGGGCGTGACCAGGTGCGTGTCTCCCCCCCCGCCCCGCTCTCTATTCAATAAACTGCTTTGTTATTGATTTCATTTGAGTTTGCGTTCGTACAATTTGTAAATTCTATTTGACTTTCGGCCAAACACACTTTAAAGGGGGGGAGAGGGGAGCCGGAAATTCGATTGTGGTTTTTGGTATGCGCATTGTCAAGGTGATTGACAGCGACCCAAGCAGGGATTTGGCCAAAGGATGCGATTTCAGTGAAATCAGTTTGAGCGGAAATCAAAGGGTTCTCCATTAAAGGTTCTAAAATCTAAGCTCAGAGATTATAAATGCCAAAATACAACAAAAGCTGTGCACGAAGCGGAATAGAAATATTTCACTTTTTGTTTATCTCACGCGTATTTCACGTATTTAACAAATATCTTCCACCTAGTTGGGTGGATTATACAAAAAGTGTGAAACAAGTCTTTCATAAATTTAAGCGGGAAACTCAAAAATAATCACGACAGGTGTCAACATAATAAACAAGGGAGTTACCGACTAGGGAATACCCTGCACCCTCTTCTATCAAACATCAAATGTAGCTCGAGCTTTACTCATATTTGTCTGCTTCTGTCTAATTTGGGGACTCAAGCTCTTAAAACATAAGAGATTTGAATCTGATCAAGAATATATATATATATATATATTATTTTTTTGGTCTCGTCTGCCATTTACATCCATTTTAGAGGTAGAGCCTTGTGTCTTGGCATGAGAACAGCCTGAAAGTCTGAAATTTCATAAAGATCGGACAATAAAGTCCGAAGTTAATCAAAGCATCGCATTTCTCATAGTAAGGGAAGGCAGCATATTGTATGCGAAATAAATTATTTTTATGGAAATGTTGCCATAATAAATAATTAGCTGTTTGTTATGAATTTGATCAACAATTGATTTGCATTTCATTTGGCTAATTGCAATATATTTATGCACATATATGCAAACGAGCCCAGATTCCAGCTTGAAGGCCGACTGCTCCGAGCTCGTATAAAAATCTTACAAAATATTGCAATTCTTATGCAAATTGTGCGCCAAGGAAAAAAAAAAGAAATGAGAAAAGAATATAAAACCCCGAGCGAGGCTAAATCAATGTCATGCAAGAGAGACACGAGCTTCTAATTTCATATGGGCTTGATTAGGTGGCACTTAATTAAGGCTAAACTTTAAGGTCAGGCGGCAAAATTGTGGCCCAGGCAGCAGCTGGGCCAAAGTGGAGCTAATAAGTCGTCGTCGTCGTATCTGGTAAATGGGCTATTCAATTACAACTTAAATGCGAGTTTAATGACATTTTCGAGCAATTAGATTGCCAGCCCAGCTGGCACATTGAAAAGAATATCATTTGAATCATTTTGAATGCACGCTGGACACACTTATTTACTCACAATACTCACATTCACATTTAGCTATACTCTCAATACTCACACTCGGATTAAGCTATACTCACAATACTCACACTCACATTTAGCCATACTCACAATACTCACACTACTCACACTTAGATTTAGCTATATTCACAATACTCACATTCACATTTAACTATACTCATAATACTCACACTCACATTTAGCCATACTCACAATAATCACACTCAGATTTAGCTATATTCACAATACTCACATTCACATTTAGCCATACTCACAATACTCACACTCGGATTTAGCCATACTCACAATACTCACACTCACATTTAGCCATACTCACAATACTCACACTCAGATTTAGCTATACTCACAATACTCACACTCAGATTTAGCTATACTCACAATACTCACAATAATCACACTCAGATTTAGCTATATTCACAATACTCACATTCACATTTAGCCATACTCACAGTACTCACACTCACATTTAGCCATACTCACAATACTCACACTCAGATTTAGCTAACCTCACAATACTCACACTCGGATTTAGCCATACTCACAATACTCACACTCACATTTAGCCATACTCACAATACTCACAATAATCACACTCAGATTTAGCTATATTCACAATACTCACATTCACATTTAGCCATACTCACAATACTCACACTCGGATTTAGCCATACTCACAATATTCACACTCACATTTAGCCATACTCACAATACTCACACTCAGATTTAGCTATACTCACAATACTCACACTCAGATTTAGCTATATTCACAATACTCACACTCACATTTAGCCATACTCACACTAAAATTTAGCTATACTCACAATGCTCACACTCATGTTCATTCGTTCACTCGCATCACGTGCGTCTGTTGGACAAATGCAATTTGTGGACTCGAGTCAAGTAGTCAGAAATCTTAATTTAGTTTATTTAAATGCCGCTTAGTTCGCATTGTCTCAAATGGAACAAGCCATAAATTATATTTAGCTAAATTTAGCTCATGACTTTGCACGCAAAAACAAAGATAAATAAATAAATAACCCAAACTGGTTCCATTTGTTTCGCTCTACTCGCATATCCCTCACATTTGATCTGATCGCTCTTGAGAAAGTCTGGAGGCACAACCTGCTAAATTGCCCATCATTTTGACAAAGCTTCAGATATGTCTGTATATCTATTATAGCGCATCATGTTTATTGGCTTGAATTTCAGTGCCGCAAATCTAGTCAAATTATAATGCACTTGGAATAAGTTAAATGGGCATATTATGCGAGTGTACTATCTGGATTTGCCTGACATTGACTCGACAAGTCTTTCTCTTTTGTCTTTAGCTTACATTTTCTCTAGCTTTTAGGCGATATGCTGAGATGATAACTAATTGACCATTCCATCTACTTTATGGAGTAAAACGACAAAATTGGAGCTCAGATTCGAATCAGATCTTCAAGAATACGTGGAAAATTGAATACTTCCATTTAAAAGTATTTCCCTTAATTTCTAGCCTTGGGATTTTCTTACGTTTTGTTTAATTTCTTAAATATTAAATTTTGATTATCATCATTTATTATTATTATAATCAACTTGAGTTCTTGACGGTTGAAAGCCTTCGCGTTTTCACCTTCATGGGTGGATTTTACAAAAAGTGTGAAACAGGACTCTCATAAATTTCCGCGTGGACCTCAAGATAATCAAAACAAATTTCACATATAATAAAATCAATCGAAACATATTAAACAAGTGAGACGTTCTAGTTGATAGTTCCCGATTAGGGGATACCCTGGATACCTCCACTATCAACATCAAATGCAGCTCGAGCTTTGGCATCAGAGATTTCATGCTGATCAAGAATATATATATATACTTTATGGAGTCGGACATGCTCTCTTCTCTCTGTTACATACATTTGCACAAATATATTATACCCTTTTAACCAATTTTCCGTGTAGGAAGTTGAATGCTTCTTCGGATTTTAGTTGTGAAATCTCAAGTAGAACTGTTCCCTTCTGGAATTAAGTAAAACCCATTTAATTTAAGCACACTTAATGGCACTTACAACTAGTCTTCAGGCTTATCACAATGAGTTCTTATCAGACGAGTAAATCCAGATTGGAAATAAGTGAAATTCTTGAACTTTTCATTTGCCATACGAGCGAATTCTGAGTATAATCGGATAATGCAGAGATAATTCAGATAATAATAATTGATTGTTTACTTGGAAACACGGACATGACAATGATTTTGTTCTTGACGGTTTTTCCACTTAAGTTTTTTGGGCCAGGTTAACATTGTCAACGAGTTTTGTGCGTCACTGCGCACGGCATGAGGCAGGGGGGAGGGAGGGGGTGGGAGACACATACTCATCCTCGTATGGGTTATCCTCGGAGCGATTGTTGTAATTGTAGGACATCCTTAAGACGGGGCTGGCGGCAGCCGCGTAAGTCGCTGTATGACACGCACTAGGGGTACTCAAGTTATGCGAGTTTAAAAAAATCAACTTGTGCAATAAATACTTATAAATAAATACAATATTACGTAAAGTGTAATGTTGTTGTTTTTGTGTGTAATTAATTTTTGTACTATGTTTATTTATTTTTGCGGACTATTTGTATTTTTTTTTTTTTTTGATTGCGTGCCCCTCTTTATCGTTTTCGGGTATTAATTACAGTTTTCTGCTCGCGCTTTACAGTTCACTTTGAGTTGAGCCCCACTGCATAGTTGGGTTGCCCTCGCGTTACTAACTAGCATGCACAATTTTTTACCCTATTTTGTAGGTTTTTAAGTCGCGTCGCAGTCGGCGGGCCAGCGTGAAAAGCATATACAAATATAAAATGAAAGAAACAACAAAAAAAAAAAAAGAACTTTCCTGATGTTCATATAAATTTTGTGCCATCTGCGCTTTGCTCATTATTCGCATTTATGCGTTCTCATACCCCCCCCGCTGCCGCCACCCTCTCACCCGCCCTCTTACCCGCCGCTGCAAATGCAACCGCGAGCTGAGCTTAACAGTTCAGAGATCCGATCCGAGCATATCTGTCACTCAAAACCGTTGTTGCGCGCTCTCGCTCTTGCCCTCTCGCTCTCTCTCGCTCTCGCACTCTCTCTGTCTTTCACTGTGGCTTTGACTTAGCCCAGGCCAAAAAAAAAAAAAATAAAACTCAACTGTTTTATTTGTTCTTTTAATTTTGCCTTTGCGTGTTTACTTTTCGGTTTCTTTTCTTTCGGCTTCTTCCCGTTTCTGTCATGTGCCTCGGTTTTCATAGCTGGCGTTGGCTTATTCGCACTTCTTTCAATTACACTTGATTTATCATATTTGACAGTTACTCAGCGATGCCTTTGATAACGCATGCGATCTACCCTGCATACCCTACCATCGAAATTAACGGTCATATTGATGGGCATATTAATAGTTCATGCATCTACTTATATTGT